CCACAAGTGATAAAAGGCCAAGTTTGAAGACCTCTGTTTTACAGAATACTAAAATCTTCTGTACGATTCTGAACAAAATGGTAATATCATCATTATTTAGCACTATTCCAAAGATAAATGCACATATTATAATCATATAATAAAAACAAAGTAAAAACAGGAAAAAAACAATAAAACATAATTAGAAAAATACCTAATTTCAATTTCCCTTACGTTGTACTCTTACTGATAATTGCATTCACCATGCTTATAAGCATTTAAAGTATGTTTTTTTCATTACAGTCCTATTCTACATTTCTACATTTGCCTTATTGTATGATGTATCATACATTGGGGAACCATTGTTTAACGCTAATCCTCCCATAGTTACATTGTAATTGTTTCTTTATAATTTTGAATCTACTTTATAATGCATTTTTGACTGTTCTGTCTCTGTGTCATATTTTAATAGCAATTTCTATATATGTCATAGTAGGACACAAGTATTTTTAATCATAGTTCGTTCACATTTTTATTTTAACAGCAAAGAAACACTTTCAATAAGCAATAACTTTTGAGAGGAATCAAAGGCAGATCATAACAAACAGAAAATCTTGTGTTCCTAATTTCAAATATCATTTATTAGCACTAAAACAACAAAACAGATAGCTGCAACAGCAGTTTTATTCAGAAATAAAAATAAGAAAAGCAGAGAGTACTAAAACCAGTGCAGTAGAACAATCTTCATCCCAATGTCTTTTAAAAAATTATAGCTTTTGCTATCTCCTGCATGTCTATCACGGTAAAATCAAAAGTGACCTCTCTTCAACATTAATTCCAAAGGGAGATAAAGCCATCAAAACCCCTAGATGTGATCCTAAGGCATATGCCACCATAGGAAGAGTTCAGAAAAATGACACATAAGAGGCAAAAGACCACTGAAATGCAGTTGGCAGGTAGAGAGCAGTGTTTTTTAAACTTGGGCATTTTAAATTGTATGGATTTCTAGAATTGGGGAATGCAAATTCATATATGCTGAAACACGTTAGTACAGGAGCCAAGATAATATTTGTACAGTAACATCTGTCACTTAAACATGGCTTGTGGCTACTATCACACATCGCTAGAAGAGCCTTACCCAAAAGCAAGTCCCACCGAATCCAGTCAGATCTACTCTGAGAAAAGTGGGTATAAGATTAAAACCCCAGAGGAATGTCAACAGAGATGTGCCAGTCCTTAAAAACTTTAGAACTGAACAATACAACAGCCTAAATATACAAACCTATAAATGTATTTTTAAACATACTGGTAGAAAAATCAATGATTTTTTTTTGAAGTCATCTGTAAACATAGTAATCTCTTTTTTGTACAAATCCTTTGAAAAGAAAGATTCATTTTTGTTTCATTAAAAAAAATTGCTACACCTTTAGGAGCCTGCTACTACAGGCAGAGTGAGTATGAAATATGAGCTGGGAGACAGGGGATGATACTGTTTAGCATAGAAAGCCACCCAATGTCTAAGGGAGTTGGGCAGCTTTTAAATCAAATGAATCAAGCAAGCAAGCAAGCAGGCAGGCAGGCAGACCGTGTCTCTAAATTAAAGAAACACACAAAGCCCAGGAGAGACATGCTGGAATATACATCCCAACCAATGCAGGAGGAGAATGAAAAAAAAAATGGCTGATTTCCTGAGGTTGCAGAGCAGCTTTTTCTGCTAATGGTGGTGTTCCAGCAGTGGTTTGCAGCTGACAAAAACAAAACAGATGTGATGTACACCCTTCATGCAGAAGATTTCCTTATATATGAATGCATGCATATGTGAATGAATATAGGCAGGCTTCAACTTACAACCACAATAGAGACCAAAACTTCCATTGCTAATCAAGACAGTTGTTAAGTGAATCATGTGATTGTTAAGTGAATCTGGCTTTCCCCATTGACCGTGCTTATTCGAAGCTGACTGGGAAGGTTACAAACGGTGGTCACATGACTTTGGGACAGTTGCCAAGTGCCCAAATTTTGATCACATGACTGTGCAGATGTGTAACGGTTGTGAGTATGACAAATGGTCATAAGTCACTTTTTTCAGTGCCATAACTTTGAATGGTCACTAAATGAATGGTATGAATTTCCAGCTGGGTGAATTGGTTGAGGTAGCAGCAGGGTGGGGGTAAGGAGAGGAGATGGTTTTTTGTGTGCACATGTGCTGTTTTCACAAATGCAGCTTTGCGCATGCACTTTCCCACCACTTCCGTGGCCCAGTTCCAAACAGGCTGTGGTCCAGCCCTGGGCCATGGACCGTGGAGTGGGGACCCCCGTGTATATGTATTACCCAGCATTTTTAGATAAATCCAATTCTGAAGGACTCCAGGGAGTGCAAAATAAAAATTTAAAATTGGTATTCGGTAATAATACGAAAGAAAGTATGAGAGAGATGTTCCTTATTACCTCAGTCTGAGGACACTTTGAAAATGATATCTTATAATTGCTTACAAAAACTGTATGTATCTCTGCAGGGATGGGATTCCACAAAATAAGGACTTCTATTAAGATAACCTTTCATCTTGTCCAAGCTCCATGAATCTCAAGGAAGGGAGAGTCTCAACAGGCTCTTCCTAGGCAATCTTAGTAGACTGACAGATTCCATTCCATTAGTAGACAGACAAGGCAAGGCATTGTCTGATACATTTCAGTGTTGTGCAATGTAAACCTTTAAAAGTAACCACCAACACTCTTGACCTGGGCCCTAGGTCAGTGATGGCGAACCTTTTAGAGACCGAGTGCCTAAACTGCAACCCAAAACCACTTATGCATCATAGGGTGCCGGGTGGGCATGGCCCATTGGCTGGGCGTGCCCATTGGGTGGGGGTGGCTGCAGTGGTAATGGCAGACTGGGTAGGACTAAAAAGTTCAATCAATCAATCCCAACTTTACAAGATTTTTTTTCCCGCAAGAAATTGAAATTGACTGATTGATTGAACCTTTTTTTTTTTTTTTTGCACACGGCAGCGGAGGCCTAAAGTGAAAAACCCAGCTGAAGGCCTAGGACTGGAGTGACGGTGCGCGTGCCCACAGAAAGGGCTCTGAGTGCCACATCTGGCACCCATGCCATAGGTTTGCCACCACTGCCCTAGGTAGATCTGGACGTGACTGGGGCATGAGTGACTGTAAACCTGTTAGAAATCAGCAGCCTACTTCTATGTCAACTTATATTTTAAGCGTAATTGTAACATTAATAAGAAATATACATTCAAACAATTTAATAATGGTTGGAACACAAGTCAGTGCTTCTTGAGGATATTTGTGATGCCACCTGCCGCAAAAGAAATGGCAATAAGTCCTCCCTTGATCCAGCCTTGCTGAAAATCTGTTACCATCTCCAACCACTCATATTTGTGAGGGTTCAACTACAGAGAGTCTTTATGAAGCAGATTATCTGCATCCATTTCAGTCTGGATTCAGAGAGTCAGGGGTTAGATGCTGTCTGCTGATTGTGTGGCTGCCTATCTTCTATTTGGATGTATTTTTGTATTAGTGCTGCTTGGTGTTTTTATATTTATAAAATATATTTTATATTTTGATATTTTATAGCCACCCAGAGTCACTTTTCAGGGTGAGATGAACAACTTATATATTAAACAAACAAACAAACAAATAAAACAAATAAAAATATTTTATATTTTGCATAAACAGGCGGCATACCTTACTAAGTTCATTTACTTATTTTTAAATCAGAAAATTATCAAAAATTTTGAATTTTGTTTTAAATATAATAAAATCCTTAAGGCACTTCTACATTTTAACTTCCTTCTACCTCTCAATGTCCTCTTCTGCTTTTCTCACCAACGTTAAAACATGAAGTTTCAGAGATGATCCAGGGTTATTGTTGGCAGGCTCCAGTTGCGGTATGCTGTTTTCTGACTTACTATAAAGCAAGTTAACTAAACCAGAACTCAAATTAAACCTTTACTGTTGTAATGTGTTGTAGCAAGTGATGAACTAGGATGATTTAGTTATCAAATTTGCACACTATTTAAGTATATGAAGAACACTCAATTCCAAAATTGTTTTACATTTAAATCACTTAACCTTGATTCTAGTATTTCTTTTCATCATTCTAGCTTTTGGAAACTTTTACAGGAAAGACACCTTAAAGAAAATCTGCAATATTAACCATTACCATATCCATTATTATAATACTGTAGCTGATACATATGCCATCATAAATATGAACTTTGCAATTATAGAAATAGAATGTATTATACTGTTTCTGTGCAGCCTTAAGTGCACAGAAGTATTTTTCTGTAAATTCTTATATGTACATCATGCATGGAAAAATAGAGAAAGTTTCCCAGATTATTTTGCAGTATCATCAACAGTTATAATATCTCTTATAAAAGGGACCAGAAGATTTTTACCTTGCAACTTTTGAGGCAGTAAACATTATAATATATATATATATATATATATATATATCTCCTGGTTCCAATATAAGGGCTTATTAAAACTTTGAAGCCCCCTTTTTATACAATTCTTACATAGATTCCCAGAGACCTAATGTATATAAGTGTCTTGGAAGTTGCATGCAGCCAGTGGGTTGTCCACTACTGTAATAATCGTATCTGTTAATTGGTATCTTTCAGCTCAATCAATTGTAGCTAAAAGATATCTCTACTTAATGCATCAATTACATATGCAGCTATTGTGATAGTAAGAGCTAGTATACATTCAAGAGCAAATGCACATTTTTTTTTTTTAAAAAAAAGAAGTCGTTTTAAAAATGAATGATTGTGACAAAGAATTAGTGAAGGGGAAAAGAGATCACTTTCTCTATACCAACTGCTTCCCTTTGTTAAGTTCTTCCATATATATATATATTATCTGGATATATATTATCTGGATTAAATAGGAAAATTAGTCACTGTTTCTGCCAAAGTAATATTCATACAATGTTATTTTGAATGAACCATCTAAAAACTATACAAAAAACAATTGAACTGATATGATATGGGCTAACCTACCTTGAAACAACCAGAGGCAGAATCAACATTTTCAACATTCTCATCAATAATTCTCCAGGAAATTGGAAATAACTAATTTCCTAAGGAAATAAGGAAATGGACAAATTGATTTTTTAAAAAAGCATTTATCTCAAAATAAGATGCTTTGATATCTACATTATTATTTCTTCTTCAGTACAACAGCATAAGAAACAAAGGATGGAATGATGAGGAAATGAACATATATTAAGGGTATTAATAAGTGGCTTGCTTTGAAATGGTGATTTTAATACTCCTTGGGTTCTCAGATGAATGATATGTTTAGTATAAAAGCTATGAACCTAGGAAAGAATTTAGTTTAGCTATTGTTGGGGGGGGGGAAGAGTACTAAATCCATTGACTGCCTGACCTATCTGTCTATATCTCAGTTAAAACAAACTGAAACAATATAATTCATCAGAAGACATCAAAACCTTAAGCTACTCATAGTTCTGCGTATCAAAAACTCATCAGGGATTAATGAAGCAGGTGTGAAGTTCATAGTTTGGATGCTGTAGAAGAGTCTCTCTTATGCTCCTAGTTTTCTTGGTGATAGGACATGCCTCAGAATCCGGTGAATCACATGTGAACATGTTCATAAGAGAGGCTCTGCTCATTCAGATATCTTGACCACAGCGTTTAAGATTCTCTAGGTCAAAACCTGCAATACTCAAGAAATCTCTTCTTGTGTCTAGCTTTTCACAGTGTTAACCTCCCAAGTTATTTATTTCACATACTGTAGCTGCTTGAATGCAACTAGATCAAAGCTATACCAGCTAAATAGATGGCAAACCAGAAGAATCTCCATTGCTTTCCTGATGTGTACTTACATATTTTGCCATGCTAAACAATTCCCTCACAAAGTGAATGGATCCATAATGGATAATTGTGACTCTATTTTACTCACAATAGGGGAGACTAATTCACATTTCTCATCTTCAGCCAGCATCTTTGGGCCAACCATGGTACATTTTCTCTTTGTTGTTTTAAAAAGAGAAAAATCCTGTTATTTTTAAAATTAGGTAATAAACCACTTCTAGCTAGCTTGACCAGCATGAACTGTAAACAGTGGGTAAGGTGGGAGGAAGCATAATCAGATGAATTCCTCAGGTTGTTCTAAAACATACTTTCTAGAATAATTTCATTTGCTAACAAATAAATAATAATAATAATAATTGAGACCTTTCCCTACGAATTTATTAAGATCAACAAAACTGTTTCAAAGTAAATGGCTTGTGGAATTAAGTATATTATATATTAGAAAAGAACATACATTAGTTGGGAACAGTATATTTAGACATATCATGAATTCACAACAGTGCAAGGTTTTTTAAATGTTCCTTCCTTTTGAACATCTTCAGTATTTAACATTTTATACATTTAATTTTGCAAAATGCTTGCAGTTTTCAATGGCTCAGCTTTTCAACCACTAAAAAAAATAATAATCTAGAGACAGCTTTAGTTTTCAGAACAAAATGTCTTATTTTGCAATATATCTAGTCAGGAAAATATCCCTCATGACAACTCCTGTTTTGTTTTATGAATCCTTTGTTCCTCCAATGATGTTCTACTGCTCAGATCACTAACCTGCTGAGAGAGGCGCCTTGTCCTCAGAAAGAATCCAAGAAGACATCCCACTATGACAGATAACACTGAGAGAACGAGTAAACCATTCCTTTTGCAAACATCCTTGACCCGACCTAGCATTGTTTTGAAAGTCACTGCCATGGTGTCCTCAGTGATCTCCGGAGGGGAATCTGCATCCCATAGACACAGAGATCTTTTCAGCTGGTCATGTTAGAATAGCAGGCATAGATTAGATAAAATCATTTCTGAGACTGCTTAGCTGACATGCAAGGTCGCTCTCCTACCAGAAGCCACCAAGCATGTATTTCCAAATTAATTCTCACAATCCTATTAGTGACTACATCAATACAAACCTCAAGGAAGATTAAGAACTCTGGAAAATGAGAACAGAGTGGAGTGGTATTTTAGAAACCAGACTGATCTTGGAGCAAAGTGCCTAATATGAAAATAAAATAATTGTGCATTGTTCAGCTGTTATAAGCAGAGGCTCCTTAATAATGGTGGCATAGAGGAATACGATCCATACAGTAGATAACTTCTGTTTTCATTCAAAGTGTAGGTGATTAACACTAGTTAAGCACAAGATTAAACTTTAAGTAATAGTGGCTTTTCACTACTAGCAATACAAATAATCTGGATATAGTGGAAGCATATGGGAAAATGTCTTGTCCCTGTCAACATTTCTTTTCAGGAAAAACTTTTTTATTTTCAGATAATTGAACTATATGCAATTGTATGCTTTAATAAATGTATTATGTATAACTTGCTTTGGTCATAAATGCATGTTTGATATGTGAAATTAAAAAATATAGTTTATTCAATTTACTAATGGCTTTAATTTTTGTTGCAAATGGAGCCTCAAGAGGTTGAACTTGTATCTCTTTATTTTTATCTGCTAAGAAGGAAGCAGGCAGCCAAAAAATTGCAGTTGTAAACTAAAGAAACCATTGACATTGTAGCAAAATGAAACATTTTCTCCTTCAATGTATCAAGTATAGAAATTTTTTTTTGAAAAAGATGTGGGATCAAGACTCAGAACACATGTTTTGCTACATTAAATATTATTTAATGGCAGTCATTTTTTGAATCTCATTTGCTATCCTTCATCAGTTCAACAATTTTGAAGATTCAACTATATTGTCACAAAATGTTCTATTCTATTATGCATTGTATTATTTCTTGATTTTGATGTACTTCCAAATATAGACTTTTTTAAAGCATCTTAGCTATTATATTTATTTAATTCAACTTCAGTGTCACCCAGCTTGAGACCCAAATCCACACTTATCCTGAGCAGTTCACAAAATAAAAAAACACAACACAACACAAATAAAAGAAGATACGTAAAAATGCAGAAAACAAATTAAACAAAATAGTAAACCAAGACATTTAACATCAAAACAGATGCAACATATGACAAACATATCTAACAAGGGATTGCATACATTCTGCCTCAAGGCCTAGGAGAAAGCTGAGTCTTTCCTCCCCCCCCCTTTAAAAATAAATTATTTGGATTATAATAATTTTTGCTCCAGTTTTCCAGTTTGGGGGTAGATCTTTGAAGGAATCGCTTGTGATACAGGTAGCTACACAAATATGACAAATACATAAACAACATCCACACCAATACTTCAAGGGCATTTAATATAAAAAGTAAATATAAAAGAAAAACTAATATCTAAAAAAGATCTATTCAGCATCAACTTAGTACCAATATATCATTAATTCATTCCTTCAATATATAATTGAATCTAGATATTTTTCTTGAATGTTTCTAGTGTTTTCTGTGACATAGATATCTTGAATCGCTATTCATTTTATAGTGACAAGTAGATAAGCCACAGATGTATAATCAATTCATGAATCACACACATACATTTGTTTTGCCCCTTTTTATACAAGGAAAGGAAGAATATGCAAGGATTATCAGCTACTAGGACATTCCTTCTTTCTTTAGCAACTGTTTTTATTTATAAAAATATCGAAAACTCTTCTAAAAATAATTATTTAGAAATTGTAAAACTACGTTGCCATCAAATGTTTTGCAAACTACAAAAATAACCCCATTTCTAAATATTCTTTAAGTAAAAGCAAAGTTTAGGATGCTACAACTGAAAGCAGGAATGGCTATTGTACAAAATACCAGAAAATCCCAAGCACTATCATTTGTATTGAAGTGCTCATGAAAGTCATTTTAAAGATGATGGCTGTGATCCAGCGATTATGCTTATACTGGTTATTTCTTTAATGATTATTTGGAAGGTTAATCAAGCAGAATAAGGGCAGGAGAAGAAACTGTAATGCTCAGTAAAAAGCTCTAGACAAATAAGCAGATAAAACCACAATAAAAATAGGAAAAATAGCAGCATTTATTGAAAATGTACATCTACAGATGTTAGAGCAGGTGGCAACAAGTAACAAGGCTGGTCTCAGAATGCTAAGCAGAGCCGAATTTGGTTGTTTTTTGGACAGGGAAATGCCAGGTGATCCTAGAACTGTAACTTTGACTAAGAAATAACAACAGCAGCCACAACATAGGCATGAAAAGCTAGCTGGGTGGCTTTGAACCAGTCATTTTTTTCTCAGCCCAACCCACCTCACAAGGTTGTTGTTGTGGGGAAAATAGGAAGAGTTGTTCATAAAGTTCATAAAAATAATAAAACAATGACAATCTGGTAAAAGGCAAAAGTAACCCATTTGTGGCTTGCTATCCAAAACCATCATGGATGTGACCATGTAGCAAGGAGTTGTTTTTAGGGAGCTTTATTTTTTTTTATGCATGAATGCTGTTCTACATGCTACCTTCGTCACAGTTGTGGCATGACCAGATCCTGAGTATATTTACTCAATGAAAAGTTGCATTTTATTTAATACCCCCTTCTTCCAAAATACCTGTAAACAAAACCAAATAGCTTTTTGATAACTTAAAAACAAAAAGCGTGTACATTTGATGGAAATTCCTTCCTGTGATCCTTCCATTGTGGCCCAATTTGTTTGAGCAAACTAACAGATATCTTTTTCAAACCGTAGACTCCTCTCAGATGTCCTGTCTCAACAGTTGCATTTATTATGGACAGAGACAGATGGATAGGAATGGCTGAATTTCTTTGCATTTTATAAAATTTACTGAATGCTACAAAATGACAAAAAGCACTATGATGTTAAGTATTGCAAAACTGATACAAACTAAATTGCTACATCCCTATTTATTAGCTGATGGTTAGATTCTGTCCCAACGTGTTTGAAAGAAAATATCACCAAATAATTATTCAATGCAACTCTTGGGGCAGCAAACACACATTTTTAAACATTCCCATACAAGGGATTTTCCTATAATTCTTACATGAATGAAGTGTGAATGCTCTTAAAAACACTCACTTATAGATCACTAAATAATTATATAGATGTCCAATATATGCTGGACAACACTCAGTGAAATCAAAACCAAGAATATTTAAATGACTTTTACAGCAATGGTATTCAGACTACAACATTCTCCTAAAAGTCCCAAAGATGCTTTTTCACAAGGTAACTGGACTTTCTTGTTTTTCTTTGAAGACAATATCTGATATCAAGAAGCTTCTTGGATGAGAAGCAAAATGTCTTCAAGGAAAAACAAGAAAGTCCAATTGCCTGGTGAAAAAGTCATTCAGGTCTTTGGGACAACCAAGACCTGAATGACTAAGAATCTCGATAGACAATTTATTTTATTTTTTTTTTTTAAAAAAAGGTTTCACTTAAGTCAAGTTGAAAGCAATGTGTAGATTATTCCTAAGAAAGGGTCAACAGGAGTCTGACATAAGGGTTATCATCCTGTATTTACTTTTGTGAAAGTAACTCCTATTGAATTCCACACACAAAAAATTGTGTTAATGCGCATCCCAACTCTCCCTCGAGAAAGAGGCGCTACTCTCTGCCCTCTTGTGTTTTTCTCGGTGATTGACAGGCAATTTAATTTGCTCATAGGCTGCTGCGAGCAGAAGTCGTGCTTCTGTCACGAAGATCGGAAGGAAGAATCTCTCTCGCGGTTCCCGAATTACCAGTCAAAGAGCCCGCCCTTTTTATAAACCTCTGCAGCTCGGGATACGAGGCGCCCTCCCTCCGGCCTGATTTGGTCTCAGAAGAAACGCGGAAACCATTTCTGCCTCGGTTCCCTCTCCCCTCTCCACCAGTTAAACCAGTGTCTCCGGTTTGGCACCCTCCAGGTGCCTTGGCGCTCCTGAAGGGCGCTCCAGAACCGGAGCCAAGGGAAACACTGCAGAGTACCCCGCCCCTTTCTGCCACTGGCTTGCGGACTTTGTGGCTCGCTCTCGCGCGCGGGTGGGTTGTCTCCAAACTTTGCAACCTGCAAGACTTGTGGACTTCGATTCCCAGAATTCCCCAGCCACTCAGCTTCCCTTCAGTTCTGGGCGTGGAAGTCCACAAGTCTTACAAGATTTTTTTTTTTTTTTTACAAGTCTTGCTTTATGGCAGTGTTTCCCAAACTTGACAATTTTAAGGCATGTGGACTTCAACTCCCAGAATTCCACAGCCAGCGTTGCTGGCTGTGGAATTCTGGGAGTTGAAGTCCTCATGCCTTAAAATTGTCAAGTTTGGGAAACACTGCTTTATGGGAAGGCGGGTGGGGTGCTGTCACTTCAGAGAGAGTCAGAGTCAGCGCCTCGTCTGAGTGTTCAGCTCGGGGTCACTTCAATCGCTATGCAAACTTTCATTAACTACGGAGAGTTAGCCGAGCGCCGTGCCACACACACACACACAAAAGGCTTAAAACCAGCAACTCGACCTATTAATAAGCAGTCCAGGGTGCGCGATCTGCCACCGGAGCCGTCCCACGTCTTTTGATCTGAAGTAACTCCTCCCAGGGGCGGGCACCGAGGGGTGGCTCTCTCCTTTTCCGCCACCGGGAGAGAAAGTATCCAGACCGCCATGGTGACCGGGGCGCTGCTATTTTCTTCCTTCTCCCGCTTCCGGAGGGCTTGGCTCCCGCCTCTCCTCATCGGGCCCCGAAGAAGCTACAGCCAAGACGATGCGTTCTCCCAGTACTTGCACCGCAGCATCGTCCCCACTATGCATTATCAGAAGAGCCTGCCCCGGTAAGGAAGTGCCACCTTGGAGCCTGGGGTGAAAGAGCAGTGCTTGGTCTCTGCTCCCCGGGACTGGTCCTGTGGCCCTTCGGCCTCGAACCCTTCCAGCTTTGCTTGTTCGTGTCCTTCGATTGCCCTTCTGACGTGGCCTTTAGGTCCTCGCGTCCAATTCCCTCCCCTCCCTCAAAGAGGAAATTAGGTATACAAGTCAGTGTATACTTTTCTCACTCGCCGAGTTTGGGAGAAGCCGCGAAATAAGCTATATCTTAAGTCGCACCCGGAAGCTCCCCATATCCAATTAAGATTTCCTTAGAAATTCATTCCTATAGCACTGGGCACAAACTCTTCAAAGGGCAAATGCCTATGCAGATTCTCTCAACCGTTACCCTGTCCCCAAAGTGCTTTTTCCAAAAGTCAAATTGACTCCCCCCCATCCTTTGAAATCGTTTCGCTTCTCATCCAATCTTTCCATTCCGCATCCAAGTTTCTTGGATGAGAAAAGAAAAGTTTTCAAAGGAAAGGACACCCTCCCCCACTACAAAAGTCCAGTTGTCTCTTGGAAGAAGCATCTTCGGGTCTTCAAAGAGCACATAATTTCTTCCATGTCATAACTGGTCTCTATAGAGAAGCAGGCTTGTGGTTGGTAAGAATTTCATGCTAGAAAATTGCAGTGATTTGACAAATTTCTTGCTTCAGGAATCGGGGAGCATTGACCAATTGCCTTCTTAAGGTGAACTTGGAGAGGAGATAAGTTTGGACAAATGGGTTTAGCCATCACCTGAGCTTGATCTGTAGGATAAGTGGGCCTTTTTGCTTCTGCCTTATCAGGAAGCCACCCACCTACCCTCTGGCTCATCCTAAGACGTGATATGTTGTGTGAGTGCTAAAGACTGCCCTCCACTTTAGGGGGACAGAGTCTGTCACTCCATCTCATGAATCAGATAGTGTTGGGGAGTTCCCAGTAACATAGGAGAGTCCCTTTGGATCCACTGCAGAGCTTGATTCATGGATGCAGATTGTTGAGAAAGGTGATCTGCCTACCAGCTGGGTGTCACTCTGCAGGGCAGTGTAGTCAGGGCAGTCTTCAATAGGTAAATTGCTGTGCCAGGTGATGTAGTTGCCTTCACCCTCCTCCCAGGCAAACAATTGACAGCAGCCAATAGTATCCCAGTCCCTGCTGAGTCATCACCCTAATCCCTACTAAAGTGCTACATGTATACAATACAGTAAAAGCCTTTGAACAAGACAGTACTTTGCAGAAATCCATAAGGAATATCTCTTTGCAGAACACCATTTGCATTGAAATTAGTCATGGTTGTATTTTCTGAACTCAAGGATAAATGGAAAACTACATTTACATCATTTTTGAACCCAGATGTCTGATAGGTTGCCGTGGACTCAAAGCTGCATAGAATGCCAGTCCATCAGGGGCAGTGGACATGTTCTGAGTATTCATATGATAGCTGGTTATCCTCATTATGCAGTTTGGACATACATATGTACATTATTTATTCATACTCATAACATACCAATGGGTTTCCTGCAGTTATCATTCACCTGAAGCAGCAAAGTTAAACTTTTTTTAAAAAAAAAACATACAGTACAGTAGTATAATGTGTGATCTCAGAACAAAGATTTTAATTTGTCTTAATAGCTGGATTGTGCTGATGCTAGCGTATTCTGTGAACTCATGAGAGGACAGGAACTAATTTTATTTTTGTACAACTCTAGAGATGCTAAGGGATAGTATGAATTTCTTGTTTAATTCAACTCCTGATTAAGAGACAGTTCAGCTTTTGGATTGCTCACAAGAATATCTAAGGTGAAATGTGAGTTACTGTATTCTAAATTACAGCACAGCAAAAAGTTTAAGAGCTCAAAATGACAAAGGGAAAATGCAAGAGCTTCATTGCAGATGGTAATGAAAGAAGACCAGAATAAAATATGGTATGTAGGTGAAAGGGTAATGCTAAAAGCAGGACATGATTCTCATCATTGCTATTCAGAGTTATACACTGTTTTAAAAATTTGTTGTTACTTTCAAGTCAGTTTTTGACTGCTGGCAACAGTCTGTATAATTTTCAAGGACCGATTCTATGTATCTATGTGATTCCTAATGCCTTTGTACCTATTTTGTTGACTTTATGCATTGTTCATTTCTAAATTGAGAGCCAGTTTGGTGTAGTGATTAAGGCTAGAAACCAGGAGACTGTGAGTTCTAGACCTGCCTTAGGCATGACAGCAGTTGGGTATTCTTGGGACAGTCATTCTTTCTTAGCCCTAGGAAGAAGGCAATGGCAAACCACTTGCAAAAATGTTGCCAAGAAAATTTCAGGAACTAGTCCAGGCAGTCACCAGGAGTGAACAATGACTTGAAGGAGAAACTTTTAAAATCAGCATGCCTAGGATTATTCTATTAAGGTCAAAGTATACTATTTAGTTGTCTAAATAACAGTGAATTCAACACTGCATACTTTGCACTTTTTACTGTTCCTGCTAAATGAGTAGCCTACATAGAGGTTATTGTGGCAAAAGAGATAAAGATCATCCACTATACCTTAAATATTAACTTAAATGTTAATCTGGAAGCATTCGAGCTAGTTGTACAGTATTCATTCTCCTCCTCCTATTTTCCATTTCCCAGTTGTTAATACCACAACAATATGCAACTGTTTTTGCTTAGTTACTGTGCTCAATGCTCATTGGTTTATTTGAGGGATTGGAGTTTATTTATGCATTGTACTTATGCAGAAATATTGATAACAATTGTTTTAAGTCTGGAAGGCATTTTTCTGATGTAAGACTTTATTATAGGTTATGGTTAATAGAATCTCTTTTTGTTTCTTTATTAATTTGCTTATTTCAGAATAGCTGAATGCTTGATACAAAAATGTGTAGTATTATCAATAAATTATGCATAGATATAAGTTATAGTGTTACAGCTGCTTTGGAGCGTGTATTTAAATTAAAAACTGCCTGACCATTTAATCTATCAACATGTTTTTCTTGAGAGTTTGTGATAACGTTTTTTTAACTTCACAGACTCAATATTTTATTCCTCTTGTTATTAGTTTGCCCATTCCCAAACTTGAAGATACAATTAGAAGATACCTAAATGCTCAGAAACCTCTTTTGGATGATGATCAATTCAGGTAAGAACAAGCTTTCATCTCTCTGATATCCTGTCCAGGTACCTATCTCAGCCTGCAGGTTACCCTGCAGATGTGCTGCATTATATTTCCCGTTCTCCTGACTATTGTTTGTGCTCATAACAATACTAATCTAGGCAGTCTCAGAAAAACCTTCTAAATAGCACTAAAGGAAATTTCTCTCCCCTTTGCATTTCAGAACAGTTAATTTAAATGCAGATCTAAACAACAACAGCAATAACATTTAGACCAGTGGTTCTCAACCTGTGGGTCAGGACCCCATCTGGGGTCGAACGACCATTTCACGGGGGTCGCCAAACAAGGCTGTCCGCCATTTTTTTTCTCCTTTTCTTTGGCCACGCCCCTGGCACCCAGTGATGTATAAGTGGTTGGGGGTCACCACAACATGGGGAACTGTATTATGGGGTCACAGCATTCGAAAGATTGAGAACCACTGATTTAGACTTATATACTGCCCCATAGTGCTTTACAGCACTCTCTGGGCAGTTTACAATGTCAGCATATTGCCCTCAACAATCTGGGTTCTTGTTTTACCGACTTTGGGAGGATGGAAGTCTGTGTCAATCTTGATCGAACTACAGGCTGTGGGCAGAGTTGGCCTGCTAGGCTGCATTGTAACCATTGTGCCACCAGGACTCCTTTTGCCTAGATAATAGTTCTTCCATATCATAATCAAGGTCATCTTCTTTATTCTTTACAATATATCAGGTTAGCAGAACCTTATTATTTAGCCGCATACTTCACATTTTCACTCAAAGAATTGTATATATCAGAGAGATATACTAAATTTCCTTCTCTGTGTCTTTTTTAAATTTAGGAAAACAAAACAACTGGCTGGCAATTTTGAGAATGGCATCGGTAGAGAATTGCATAATCATTTGGTTGCAAAGGACAAACAAAACAAACATACTAGTTACATTTCAGGTAGGAAAATGATTGTGAAATGTTGCTTATCTTCCTGATGTCTTTTCCTTGTACTGCTCAATTATGAATCAGTTCTAACCCGGCAGATAGCAAAGAATGGATCTTCCTTTTCATTAATTCAGGCTGAAGCCACAGGTCTGGAACTGGCTTTAAGGCTTGTTTGCATTTTGAACGGTTAACATTTCCTTTAGGAGTGTGCATGAAATGGAAAGTATACTTTGTTTCAAACCAGGAACAAATCTATGTGTTCCAGAAGTTTTGTTGAACTATTTCAGTTTATCCACAGTTCAGCAGAACCAATAGCCAAGAGGTTTTGGTTGTTCAGGTTTCAAAACAAAACTAAATCTGGAGGGATCCTGGAGTGATTTTTGTGCAGTGAATAGGCCAAAGCTGTACAGATTACCTCTTCTCTCCATTCCTTGCCTTAGTAGCTCACAGCATGACATATTCCCCTGGCACGCCCCATTTCTCCTCCCCTCCTCTCCCTCCCTCCCTCTCTTCTTTCATGCACTGCATAACCTATCTTGCTATATACAAGTGATGGCAAACCTTTTAGAGAACGAGTGCCCAAACTGCAACCCAAAACCCACTTATGCATCGTCGGGTGGTGGGTGGGCGTGGCCCATTGGCTGGGTGTGGCTCATTGGGTGGGCATGGCTGCGGTGGTACTGGCAGACTGGGTGGGACTAAAAAGTTCAATCAATCAATTCCAACTTTGCAAGATCTTTTTTTTCCTGTGAGAAGTTGAAATTGACTGATCGATCGAACCTTTTTTTTCTTTTTGCACACGGCGGCAGAGGCCTAAAGCAAAAAGGTTTTATAAAACCCAGCTGAAGGCCTAGGACTGGGGTGATGGCGCGCCTGCCATAGGTTCACCACCACTGCTATATACCCACTCTAGTCTTCCCAGTGTCTTTTCTCCTCTCACCATTGCTGATGTCCTTAGCCGTTCTTCACTGTTACCTTCTCTTCACAGAACAATTAAATTTATAGCCTGGACATAACATTCAAAGACATTTGTCTCAGTTTGGGCTATCAGAAACTTCTGTTCCATATATGGAATTTCTTGAGTCAAAGCTGAATGTGTCCCCCCACAAAGACTGGATTGGAATTAGTCTTAAGCCAAAATCCTGGAGCTCCAGAATAATTTCCAAGAGAATCTATAAGATACATTAGATTCCTTCTTCTAAATCTGGAGAATGGAAGAGAACACAGTGGATAGATGGAACAAGCATCTCTTTCCATGCAGAATGTGGCAGGTTCAACTCTTAGCATCTCTAGCAGGAAAGCAGGGTGACCTAATTATCAGGCAGTTGCCTTTTATTTACTTCAATACTCTTCAAGTAGTGACGGAGGAAATGAGAAGGGAAGTTTTTTGTTGCAGGAAAAAAGATGTTATTTTATTTATTATAGCAGTGGTTTTTCAAACTGGGAGTAATTTGAGCATAGTCTGGGGCTAATGGAGCAATTTCTAACTGCTTGGGAATTGAGAATCCAGATTGCTGCTGCAGAGATGCTTGTACAAAACAACAGACCTTTTGCCTTGTGTGTATGTGTGTTTGTGTGGGCAATGGAATTATTTGAGATAGGGAAATGGAACAATCGGTTCAAACAATTGAAGAACCGCTGTGTTATAATTTTCACGTACTGCCGATTCCATATGTCTTTCTGAGAAATAAAATATACGGTCTGTAGAAAAAAGAGTGATCATAGTAACTTAATGTCCATTACCAACAAAATATTAATCTATTGCAGGCTGCTAAACTTTATGGTTTGGGAAAAAAGAACAGTCAGGATGAGATAAAGAAAAGGAAACTTACTTCAGCAGATGGAGGAATACCAGAACATAAAGCAAGGAGACAGCAAAAATAAGACAAAAAAAAAAGTGAAAGAGAGAGAACAAAAATAGAAGAACAGCAAGGAAGAGAACATTTATAGAATTTAGATTAGTGAACTTAATTTACAGGTAATCCTTGACTTATGACTGTTCATTTAATAACGGCTCAATGTTACGAACGGCCTTGGAAAAAGTGGCTTATGACCTGTACTTGCACTTACAAACCTTGCACCACCTGTTGGTCATGTGATGACAACTTGAGCACTTGGCAACAGGCTCACATTTATGACCGACTGCAGTGTCCTGCGGTCTCATGAACATGATTTGTGACTTTCCCAGATAGCTTTTGACAAACAAAGTCAAGTGGGGAAGCCAGATTTCCTTAACAACCGCAGTCACGTGAGCACACGGTTATGTGATCATGCTTTGTGATCCCCTTTTTTGCTGATTTCTGGCCAAAAATGCCCATTGGGGAAGATGGATTTGCTTAACAACTGTATGATCCACTTATCGACTGTCATAAAAATTACTGTAAAATTGGGTCCAACTTGTCTTATGACTCCAATGACTCCTATGTTTTTCTCCTCTTCTTACATGTATGATATTGGCATCTAAAATGTACATGAGTTACTACTGGAATGGTCAGGCTCATCATGGTCATGTGGTTTATTAAGCAAATGCTGTGGTCATTAAGCAAACTCTTGAAGACTATCTGTGCCTAGGGTTTGTATACCACATGCCCATTATTGGTAGAAATCTCACCACATTTATTCTGTTCTATTTCTCAGCTGAATCCTTCTGTGAAAGAGTGACTCATTACACAGTACATAAACAAGACCCTGAATTAAATACTTGTGGATTTAAAATGCTATCTGTCCCATCCTATTTGCTTGAGAGTAGGCTAAGAAGTGATTAATGCATTAAAACTTAGCCAAATTATAATCTTTCCACTGAATGAAAAAACAAAATGTGCAGAAGCAAAATATAGAGAGAGTCACATGGAAATGGAAAGAATTGTATCATTATTCTCCTTCCCCACCCCACCTATTTTTCTTTTATTTGAAATAAAATGCTAAAAGGTTTATTTATTTAAATGAAATTTAGGAAGACGATAGCGAAGTAGCTCTCGGTTTCTGTGGGCAATTAATAAGCAGCAGCTGAGTAAAGTTGACCGAGAGAAAATGGTTACTTATAAGTGGAATATAAGTGGAAAATCCAAGGTAATTTTTGCAAATCAAAATCACACAAAATTGCTTGATTCCATTCCATAGGGGTAGCAACTCTGTCCTAATTTGGAGCAGAATTGGTGGTCTAGTAGTTATTTACTACTTCCTTATCAGTGTCTAGTGGTCTAGTAGTTATTTACTACTTCCTTATCAGTGTTCTGCAGAGCCCAGGATTTGGGGTTGTAGACTTCTTTTCTGATAGCTAGTTTACTGCTAACCTCTCATGAACCTGTGAAAATTAAAAATTAGTAGCACAGGAATGTCACTTTTATACCAATGTATTTGTCTGAAGGGTCAGACTATGCAGGCGATTACCTTTTATTTCTTACCAGTATTAATATTTTTTTTTTGTAGTCCTCATATTTGTGAAGAAATCCCATACTTTTTATGCCAAGTATAGAATTCAGTTACTTTAGTGGATAGAAAGAAGCCAGGAATTAGAAGTGAAATCTTTGGTGGGGAACTGAAACTTTTGGAGAGAAAAAAGGAAAGAAAAACACAGGAAAGAGCAGAAGCAACAGGTAAAAAGGTAAAAGAAAAAGCTAGAGTGTATTTGTAGGTGTCCTTTTTCATTGAAGACAAATGATAAATGGTCAAAGAGGAGAGCAAATGGTAAATGAGCACTGGATGCAAAATGAATGCCCCACATTAAATTAATGGCAGGAACTTTAAAAGAAATTCTGTTTTCAGTTGTCACTAACTTGGAAACTTTTCTACCGCATCCCATAGATCAGGGATCTTCAAACTTGGCCCTTTTATGACTTGTGGACTTCAACTGTCTGGCTGAGGAATTCTGGGAGTTGAAGTCCACAAGTCATAAAAGGGCCAAGTTTGAAGACCCCTGCCATAGAGCTTCACTAAATATGCTTTTAACTGGAGTCCCTCACATAAGCCTCCCATGTTAATGACATTTGAAGAGCGGCGTGGTGGCCTAGTGATGAAAATGCTCACTGCCCACTCAGAAGGCTGAGAGTTTAATCCTAGGTAATGGCAGATGTTTCTCACCCAGGGCGCAACGAAAAAATATCTGCTGCAAACTTTGCACGGTATCATGAAAGGCTTCCAGCCAGCAAACGATCAGCTCCATCCAGTTGCCCCGACTCTACCCCAATTTAAGGGATTACATGGTCGTAAAAAGGGACTTAATGATACTTGAACTTTACTTCTATGGTTGCTTCTTAATTTCAGGTCCCTGGTTTGACATGTATCTTCAGGCACGGGAACCTATTATTCTTAACTTCAATCCATTCATGGCTTTCACTCCTGACCCCAAACCTGAATACAACGATCAGCTTGTGAAAGCCACCAACATGACAGTTGCTGCTTTACGTTTCTTGAAGACTCTTAGGGCAGGCATCTTAGAACCAGAGGTGTTTCATCTGAACCCCTCCAAAAGCGACACTCCCGGGTTCAAAAAGTTTATTCGATTGGTGCCTTCTTCTCTCTCATGGTTTGGTGCCTATATGGTGAATGCCTACCCACTAGACATGTCACAATACTTCAGACTTTTCAATTCCACGCGGCTGCCTAAACCCAAGAAAGATGAACTGTTTACAGATGAGCATGCAAGGCATTTACTGGTGCTTAGAAATGGCCACTTCTATGTGTTTGATGTGATAGACCAAAACGGCAATATAGTGAAACCCTCAGAAATTCAAGCCCATTTAAAATTTATCCTTTCGGACAATACTGCAGTTCCAGCATCTCCTCTTGCTTATCTAACTACCGAAAACCGGGACACCTGGGCGACTCTGAGACAGGAACTCCTTGACAATGGCAACGGGGAGGCCTTAAGGAAAGTGGATTCAGCCATATTCTGTCTGTGCCTTGATGATTTCCCAATTAAAGATGTCGACCATTTGTCTCATGCTATGCTCCATGGCGACGGCACTAACAGGTGGTACGACAAATCATTTAATCTTATTTTAGCTAAAGACGGCTCTGCAGCAGTTCACTTTGAGCATGCTTGGGGAGATGGTGTAGCTGTGCTTAGGTTCCAAAACGAAGTCTTTAAAGACAGCACTGAGACTCCTGCCGTTACTCCTCAGTCTCTGCCAGCTGCCTGCGATTCGCATGGAGCTGTAGAGAAGCTGAATTTTAAACTGAACGATGCCTTAAAAGAAGGAATTACCAAAGCCAAGCAAAATTTTGATGCTACTGTGAAAACACTAACACTGAAGTCCTTGAAGTTTGAAAGAGGAGGCAAGGAATTCATAAAGACCCAGAAGCTGAGTCCTGATGCCATCGTCCAGCTTGCCTTCCAGTTGGCTTTTCTTAGGCAATATGGACAGACAGTTGCCACCTATGAATCTTGTAGCACAGCAGCATTCAAACATGGTCGCACTGAAGCGATCCGGCCTGCTTCAGTTTACACAAAGGCATGCTCGGAGGCATTAGTCAAGAGGCCGTCCAAGCACAGTACTGTGGAATTACGCCAGATGATCACAGTGTGCTCCACGTATCACAGTCAACTCACAAAAGAAGCTGCTCTGGGTTAGTATAGCTGGGGAGTTGTGGTGATCTTCAGTCTTGCTTTTGGTTATACTGATTGCAGCCCTTTTCTTAACGTTGAATTCTCTGTGGAGCAAATGTGAGTGCAGCAATATAACTTTTTTTTAGTAGCTTAATCCAATTGCAAAATGTCATTTAGATCTGTTGAGTTCATTGATCAATGAATTCATTCATTCAGTTTATACGCTGCCTGACTCCAGCTGACTGGGAGGCTCACAACAATAAATTTATATACCAAGATTACAAAACACTTCAATATAATATTTTGAGAAGTAAATGTTATGCAAATTGGCAGCATGCCCTCCTACACTACCTGTTGGGACTGCTCCAGAGCAGTCCACATACAGCTATCTTTGAAGGCCATCCTGAAGCTATCACTGCTTCAGTACAGAGCAGCTTGGGTGTTATCTGGTGCACAATACCTAGGGCTTAACTGATAGTGCTAATGAACAAAATTGAAACTTTGATTATTAAGCAAACCGCAACTGTGCTTATGAACCTACTTCAGTTTTTCTTTGCTTTGCAGACCTGTGAGGGTCATAAGTGTGAAGGGTTGGTTGCTTTTTCATTACTGTTATAACTGCAAAAGTTGTTAAACAAGGCAGTTGCTAAATAAGGACTTCCTGTATTGATTCTGAAGGTTCTGCATCATCTGTAATTTGAATCTGTAATTCAAAATGCTGGTTTGTCCTATAAAGCCCTTTATGGTTGGCACTTAGGTGTGTTCAGGAACTCCCTTTCCAATTGAGGTTGACCCATTTTGAGATATTCATCCCGGAAGAAACTTCTTCTGGTGCCCCATCTTTAGAAGTGGGATAGGGATGGGACTGAGATCAGGAAGTGCTCCTTTTCAGTGATGGCTGCAGTGCTTTGGAGTATCTTCCTTCTGGAACTGACACATTGCTATTAGCTTTTTGAAAACAGGTAAAAACTGAATTATTGTGGAATAATAACCTCTGGGAGGTTAATACCTATTTCTTTATAAAATGTATGCACTACTTCAAACCAGGTGGTCTCCAGGCAATTTATCTGTTTATCATAAATATACAATAAAAATAAAACAACCAAAAAATAAGCAATACATTAATATAGCAAATCTAAATCCTACATGAATATCTCCAGAATCAGTCCATAAACTCCCTCTGGAAAAATCAACTTTACACTTATTAGAAAGCAAAAGATGTTGCCTGTGTTTTACTGCTGTGCTTTAATTTTAATACTGGTATCCTTATCAGGAGCATATTAATCATCACTAGCACCAGTAGTCACTGAGATATTAACTGAATAACATTTCAGATGGCGTAAAGCCTCCTGGGCACTGAAAGAGATTAATATAGTGACTGAAACTATTTAAATAAATTAATTTAGTGCTCATTTAAATAAGCTCACATAACCTTTTTTTTTTTTACAACAATAGTTTTTCATTTAAGAGCAGCCATTTGGAAGTGGCATAAAATATGATTTAGAAAGAAGTAGTGACTTTTTCCAAGCCGCTCACTGTTGTATTTTTCTTGATAGGTCAGGGATTTGATCGTCACCTCTTTGCATTGCGGTGTGAAGCAGAATCCCAAGGAATTTCTTTGCCAGATCTTTACAAGGACCAAGCTTATGCCCTAATTAATCACAACATTCTCTCCACAAGTACTTTGAACAGCTCATCTGTGAACCTGGGTGGATTTGGGCCGGTGGTGCCTGATGGATTCGGTTTAGGTTATAGCATACACGATAACTGGATCGGGTGCAATGTTTCGGCTTATCCATCTAGGAATGCACCAGAATTCCTGCAGTGTGTGCACAAGTCACTGGATGATATTTTTGATATTTTAGAAGGGAAACAAATTAGTAATTAAGATAGAGCAGGGCTGGCTTTCTTAAATGTGTGGCTTCCTCTGGCTCAAGGGTAATGTTCTAGCTCAGGGGTAGGCAACCTTGGCTCTTTTATGACTCGTGGACTTCAACTCCCAGAATTCCTGAGCCAGTTGAAGTCCACGAGTCATAAAAGAGCCAAGGTTGCCTACCCCTGTTCTAGCTGGACTATGACCTGTTTCTCCTTTTTAAAAATGACAGATTTAAGGTCTGGAGAAAAAAAAAAGAATGTAAAGATTAAAGAGCCGGCCCACTAGGTTTTAACATTTGCCGTGACTAAATTGTTACATTGATTTTAATGGCTGTTCTCTAAATATGACTAAGGCTAGATCCAACTCTCTTAAGTGTAAATGGACTTCAATTGTAAAAAAAAGTGTTGTTTACTATCTATCAGCCAACAGAAGGTCTTGCAGTATGTTGCTTGATACATCTTCGAGGATTCATTCGATCTTTGCTAATATATATGTTTAATTTTTAATACACATTAACTATCAAATATATGACTGGCTGACTTTTAGATAGCAACACCCTTTTTGTGAGGCTTTATGTAAAAGACAATCCAGTATTATACATTTATTTTTGTAATAGGAAAGAAATCTTGACTAGCATGTTCATTGGAGCAGAAATGTTCATATACTTCCTGAGATCTGCCTTGTGACACTCAAGTGAAATTTTTGGAATTCTTATAACAAACAGTTACAGGAATATTCAAGCACCAAATTTACCCAAGAAGAAAAAAAAAGTCCTGTATGTAAGACGAAGGATTTGCTTCTGTTTAGTCTTCCTTCCTCACAAGCAAAAATCTTGTAAAAATGCCCATTTCTGTGCCTAGTAAACTGAAGTTAACTACTACAGAGAACGATAGAATTGTGCGATTCGAAGTGAAACTCTAGCTGACACACTGATCACTAGGCATCATCACGGCCACCCTGGTGTTCGGTGTAACTGAAAATATGATACAGGATACACACTGGGTACTACTACACTTGATCTTAGCCAAAAGACCAAGAAGCGATACACACTGGGTAAAAAAAAAAATCTCTCCTCAAATAAATGGGGTGGAAATCATATAAAATGGCATACATGGAGAAATAACAAGAAACATTCATGTCTGCTCTGAAAGCTTAAAGGATGATAATGCAGATAGTCCTCAACTTACAGCCACATTGGGACCAGGATTTCCATTGTTAAGCAAGGTGGTTGATAAATGCCTCACACCTGATTTTACAAGCTTTCTGCCACGGTGAATTGCCGCAGTTGTTAAGTGAATCACGTGGTCATTAAGAGAATTCACCTTGCCCTATTGACTTTTCTCCTTGGAAGCCAGCTGGGAAGGTCACATGTGGTAATCACATGATCTAAAGAGGCTGCAATCTTCACAAACACAAACCAGTTGCCAAGCACGCAAATTTTCATCACATGACTGTGGGGATGCTATGATGGTCGTTAAGTGTGAGGACGAGTCATTTTTTTTTTCAATGCTGTTGTAACTTCAAACGGTCACTATATAATGGTTGTTAAGTCAAGGACTACCTGAAATATCATTCTGTCAGAGCTTCCAGCTGGAATGTATCCTGAAAGCTTCCTGTTGAATAACTGTGACATTGTATGTCGACGTACATCCATTTATATGTGTCTACTAGAAGCTACATAACAAACAAAAACCAAAATAACTATAACTAATGGTGCCTAAGTAAAATTAATTGCCTAAAAAATAAAAAATAAGGTTCCTCATTGAGAAAATTGTTTCTTATGCAATGAAACATAAGAATACAGACTTATATATTCTTTTATCTCCCAACAAAATCAGGTCCACCCCTTTCACCTAGAACTATTCATATCTTCCCAAGAGGAGACGCTTAGAGTCCCCATTATACGATTGATATTAAGGAACAGCTTGGTTCCTGAGATTTGATTGATGCCCACTTGGTTGGCTTTATGGAAGGCTTTTGAGAACGGTCCTTTTCTGAGAAGCATTCAGCCTTTTTGTTTCATTATTTGATGCCTGGGCTGGCTTTACACTGGTACTTTTTTCTTATTTTGTAGCTAGACATTTTATAGAGGGTTGAAAGGCCATTGCGCTTTTTAATCCTTGCCTTTTTAGTTTTTGTCAACAGCGTTGATTGTATTAAGGACAACAGGACAGAGGTGGAATCAAGGGGAAAGGGTAGGAAGGAAAGGAAAAAGGGAATACAACCAGCTGGGGATGAGAAGTGATAGCTTGAAGTAAACATAAAGGGCTGAAATACTAGACAAGCAGTTCTTCCCTAGCAGGAGCTTATTTTCAGACTATATTTAAAAGCATCTACTCTTGGGTAGAGGGATATCTTCCGACATTGTCATTCACGTGGATTATAATGTTTTTAGTTGTCTCCTCTCTTCTTGGGGCAGCCTGATGGCTCAGCAGTCAAGACCTTGGGCTTGTCATCTGGAAAGCTGGCAGCCCAGATTCAAGACTCGAGCGCCAAGTGACAGGGTGAGCTCCCGTCTTCACCCCAGCTCCTGCCAACCTGGCAGTTCAAAAACATGTAAATGCAAGTAGATAAATAGGTGCTACTTCAGTGGGAAGGTAACAGCACTCTGTGACATCATGCTGGCCACATGACCGCAGAAATGTCTTTGGATCGTGCTGGCTCAATGGCCTTGAAAAAAGAGATGAGCATTGCTCCCTATAGTCAGCAACAACTAGCGGAGGGAGGTCTGCAGTCATTTCCACCCTAACTATTCATCTTTCTGCACAATAAAGTGTATTTAACCTAGAAGCATCCAACACATGTTATTTCTAAGATACTCAGAATATTTTTGTTTTTCTTGATAAATTAAGAACGTATAATATCTGCCTCTGTTAAAAACTGTTTCACCTACAATGCTATATGAAAATATGTTTATCTGTTCTGAATAAAGCTCACTGGAATGGAATGAGTATTACTCTTAAGTGTTTATAAGAAATGGAACTGAAATGTGAATTCTCAGGATATTACATGGATGTCTTATTTGTAGACTGGCTTGTTCCAAGATAAAGCTTGTGGTGTTAATTGCATGTATTTTTTTCAGACAATAAAAAAATAACAGCATGTGGGCAAAAATATCAAAAGTAATGGTTTTATTTTGACTTTTGTGGATACAATTTAAATGGCTTTGCTGTATGGATTTTTTTTCCATAGGAGGAGTTAACATTTGACAAACTTATGGGTAACTTCATAGATGCCAACAGATTCCTTAATTTTTTCGTCATAGTCGTTCCAGTCCTGTAGAGTGAAACATGCATCTTAAGTCTATACAAACTTTAATGGAGATATAGTATTATTGCTTCAAGTTAAACTGTAGGCAGTTGCTTGGAGTCTAGCCTGCATTTCAGTAATATCTCCCCACCCCCCAATCCATTTATTAGGCACAACCCTCAGAATCAAATATAATTTGGTTTCAATTTTTTTTCACATATTTAAAAGTAAAAGGATTTATCGTGTCTTGAAATTTGAAGAGCTCATCCTCAATCTGGATGATTTTTCATTCCAAGAACTGACCTTTAAAATGTAATTAAAATTAAAATAAACTTGTTGTTTATTTGACATTACTTTGTTATGGAGAAGACCAAATTTGGAAGATTGCTTGCAACACAGGATTTCTAACCTTGTTATCGAGATAGTCCTCAACTTACAACTGTTTAACAAATGGTTCAAAGTTAAGACAGCCTCAGAAAATATGACTTACGAACCACTCTTGAAGTAATGACTGTCCCAACCCGACTGCAGGTGCTTGACAACAAGTTCACATTTATGTGATTGTAATTTGTATCTTCCTAGTCTGCTTCCAACAAGCGGTCAATTGGGGAAGCCAGATTCACTTAATAACTGCATGAATTACTTAAATGACCATGTGATTTGCTTAACAACCCTGGTAAAAATGGTCATAAAATTGGGTGACTCATTTAATGAGTGTGTCGCTCAGTGCCTGAAATTCCAAACCTAACTGTGGTTTTAAGCCAAGGACTACCTGTACTTTGTCCTGACAGCACCCAGGTTCCACCAGAGATTTATGAAAAAAGAAAAAATATATATCTTCTAGATATTTTGAACTACAATTCTCATTAGCACATTTGTCATCCAAAACGTCTGGAAGATATCAAAACTGTCTTATCTCAAGCTAGTGTTTAGAACAGAGATGTACTATGTTGACAACCTGGTTAAATTTTTAAACTATGATTTCAATATGAAGATCTTGTTCTAATAGAATGAAAAGGCATCAGGCTACATGTGTCTAATATAAAAGATAGTACAATACATCCTGGGGACCTTTAGAAATTGTCCTGCTTGCCCAGTCTTTCTTAATTTCTCTAACAAGCTGCAATTCATCAGCATAACTTGGATTGCTGTAAAACTGGACCAGGATATTTTGTGAGGAATAGCTAATGATCCTGAGATTCAATGTTACTTTTAGACTGGTGATACATTCAAATACCAGTAACAGTAAAGAGAAGTAGGAGAAAGATAATACCTCTTCCTTCTACCGCAGTGGTTCTCAACCTTTTTATACCGGCGACCCCGGTCATAAGCACGCGGCACGCATGCGCGGTGCCGCCCCCTGCACCGGCTGAGGAAAAAAATGGCAGGAAAAATGGCGGATCGCGTTGTTTGGCGACCCCCGTGAAATGGTCGTTCGACCCCAAATGGGGTCGCGACCCACAGGTTGAGAACCGCTGTTCTACCGGGAGCCATCTAGTTGGCCGCTATGAGAATCAAATGTTGATCTAAAGTGTTGACCTGAGGCTGGTCCAGCAGCACTAGTCTTATATTAGCCTGTTTTAAGATTTGTACGCTATATACCAGAGGTCTCCAACCTTCTGGGCACCAGGGACTGGTTCAATGGAGAAAGGTCCATGGGGCTTTGCTTGTTTGTGCGGACCGGTTGCTGGCATGCTGCGGCCTGGTACAGTCCATGGACTGGGAGTTGTGCTATATACCACAAGATTATTTGAACCACAAATATGAAGACTCTACCTTTTCCAGTAAGTTGATGTCATCGAAAGATGTGCCAGACTCAGCACCATTTGCAGCAAACCCTGCCTACAAATAGTTAGAAAGCACCTATTAGGGACACATGAGCTAAAATGCTGTCCTTTAATTGCATCTATGCAGCTACAACCACAGAATTCCTGTCCGATTTAATACCAACCCTTCATCCAAACATGTTCAGCAGGTTCCCTGCTACAGATGAGCAATAAAGCCATAACCAAGAATGCAAAGTTAAGTTACTTAACAGTGCTTTCTCATCATGTGAATCTAATTGTGTGTGTTTAAGTTTGCATAGAACAAACTTCAAATCACATTAATGTTTAGATGTAAACTTACCAGCTGTTAACTCTTTGTCTTATAGCTGCGTGAATTAGCTCCAAAAGAAGAACACGTTAGGAATAATTTGGGTTTAATAGGCAGGCCTTTCAAAAAGACACTCTTGAGAACTTGCCTGTGGTTGAAAATCCACTGGTTCAAGGCCACGACACTCAAATTCCACTATTGTCTTAAAGATCTCATTGTCTTCAGCCTAGAATTCAGCAAAAGAATACTTAGCTTTTTTTAAAACAAAAGAATAAAGACAAGGAATGAGAAACTAAACATGTTTCCCATATTATTATACTCCATAAAGACACAGTATAATATTATAAAGAATATAATCTGTAATGTTTGTAAATCTCTAGAGAAAATTCCAATTAAAGTAGGAAACATTTAAGCATGAATGACAGAAAAATAATCATTAGTGCCTGTTTAAATTGCTGCCTTTAAGTCAAATAACAGGAAACAGAATTTCTACTGAATGGGAATATATATATTAAGCTAATAATCTAACCAGCAAAAAACCTATTCTCAAAATGTAGAGCAGATCACAAAGCTCTGTGACTAACTCCTAAATAAATGTCCATAGGTTTCACTTAGCTTAAATCTTCCTTATTCCTACATTTCTTTCCTTCCACAAAGATTGCACAATTATCTTACTATGCTTAGAAAAAGAAAACAGATGAACCATGTTTTCTGCATGGAGACAACTGCATGAAGAATCTGTAGACACAGTATTAAAGCTGCATGAACAGCTAGTTTCCATTAATTTTGTGGAAAAGTCATCCTCTAATCAAATTCCAGGATAATATGAATTTAATAACAAGCAATCAATGTTCTCAGTGCAGAGGGCCACTCTTTTATGAAATTTCAGAGCATACGCTGTATCATTTTAGACTTTAGTTTCTTTTGATCAAGTCCACTAAAAGTTCACCCTTTCCATAAAATGCAAATAAAATGAACTTACATTATAAGGCTTAATTGTCTGACTTAAGATATCTGAAAGGAAAAGAAAAAAGAAAAACATATCATTGGAGCAAAGAAAGGTATAACTCATAGGCTACAAAAATATTTAGATTTGAATGTGCTAAATAGCCAGTCATCTGCTGGACTTCATCTTTAAAAGTTAGTTTTAAATGTTTAAGCAGTATGCCAGGACTGGATGCTTTCTGGAAGTCATAGTGTGCCGCCCACCTAATCTAGACTCCAAAACGAAGCAGGGTTGGGACTTTTAGGCCAGGGGTCCCCCAACTCCTGGCTCATTGCTGGGCCACAGCTTATTCAGAACCAGGCCAAAGAAGCGGGAGGCGAGTGAGCGTGCGTGTGCAAAACTGTATTTCTGAAAGCGGTGCGTGCACATGCTTGAAACCATCTCTGTCCTCCCTCCCCCACTGCCGCGGGTCCGCTGAGTTGGAAAGGTTGGAGATTGCTGTTTTAGGCCACACTGGGGAGTCAGAACAGCAGAAACAGGCTCAACTCAAGGGTGTCTTTAGGGTTGGCAAAAAAAATAAATAAATCTAATATATGTAGATTAGGTTAATTTCCTTAGAAATACTTCTGCCCTTTGCAATATTCTATACTAACAATAAGGATAACATTGATCAGTTGTGACCTATTTGGGCCAGTTTTACTCTAAGAGGCATACAGAACATGTATAGATACATTTATATTACATAAATGTTGGACTCAGCAAATATTGTTCTTTCCCCCCATTGCCACCCTCCAGCAAGAACCAATTTTCAGGCTAATCCATCTTTCAAAATAGAGATCTGCAGTCATTTGGCATAGCTTGTTTTATGGAGAAGATTATTTCTTTCTCCACTCTGCAAAAGATTGATAGGCAATGATAGAAGGGAAGAGGGAGCAGGAGGAATGTTTTCCTATTAGATTAATATAGTATCATAGCCTGAGTTCTCTATCTAGGGCAGGGGTGTCCGATCTTGGTAACTTTAAGACTTGTGAACTTCAACTCCCAGAATTCCTCAGCAAGGTGAATTCAACTTCAATTTCTGGGAGTTGAAGTTCATAAGTCTTAAAGTTGCCAAGGGTGGACATCCATGATCTAGGACAGAGGTCCACAACCTATGGGCCACATGAGTGGCTGATCAGTGCACGCACATATATGTGCGCTCACCCCCTGCTCTTATGCAGGCCGAGCCATGAACCTCGCGTCGGCACTAGAAAAGCTGCATATTTCACGCTGGGGCTAGGCGAGCCAGTGCTAGGAGAGCCACGCACCGATGCTAGCAACTCCATTTGCACGCTCACAGCCCCGTTTGTGCGCACACAGTCACATTTTCGTGTTTGTGCATGCACGCATAAAGGTGCCTGTCCCTCCCTTTCCCATGGGGCCGCCAATTTAGACAGGTTGGCGACCCCTGATCTAGGGGATAGATGTATAAAAAAAAAACCTTACCTATGGAGTTTTCTCGGGAGCACAGCTTGCATTTCTGCACCCTTGTGGCACTTCCCCGGCCTCCTTTGAGAGGCTGGCTGTCCTAAACAGAATTTCAAAACAAAACATTAGCCACCAATCGCAGGAGCTCCAATGGCGAAGAAATAAAGTCCTTTTTCTCAAGATACAAATCTAATGCAAGTGCTTTTTCTTTTGAATTAAGAATGTTATGCAAACATTAAGCAATCAGCGAATGTTCAGAATTCTGATCTAACAGAGAGAGATAAACATCTTTAGCAAAACCAGAAATAATATTAAATCTTTTGTTTAAAGAAAAATGCAATTTGCACTGCTAAATAAATTTGCAATTCTAATTAAGTGATTGAACTACATATCTGACTGTAAAAATGTATCATCAATGGAAACATTCATATTAAATGAATGCAGGTAAGGAATCTAGAAATAATGCTTTCCAAATCTAATTTCCTGCAAATATTTTGGATGATAGCTCCTGTCACTGACATTCACAAGGGCAGGACCAAGTGACATCATAAGCTTCATGGTGCCACTGCCCAAATAATATGAATTATATACATAAATCATTTGCATTGTAACATGCATGGTGCTAACTAGATTTTATATAATTTGTTTTAAAACTTACCATTAATCGTAGATATTGCCATTTTTCTGAAACCTCACCACAGTTTCCACATTTAAGCTGGAAAATAAAAGGAAAACAAATGCAAACTAAAATATTGAATGAAATCCAATAACCCAATAATCAATATATATTGCTATGTCTTCTTGTGTTGGTTCTGTTTAGTTTTGCTTTATTTGAAGGTTTAATTTATGTGTTAGCCTTTGGCTGTAATAATAAATTGATTGATTGAATAATCAAATCTCTAAATTTACAGTGCCTAGAGGTTGTCTGGATCAGAATGGAAGGCTTTGGGATTTATGGGCCAAATGATCCTAGAGAAATATCATCTTTGCCTCTGAATGGAGTTGCACTCCCCCATTCAGAGATGGTTTGCAATTTGGGGGTATTCCAAGAGCAGGGGTGTCAAACTGCTGACTGGTTACATCATACAGAGGCCACACCCACCCCAGCTGTGGCAATGAAAAAAGTCACAATACATCGTGACACGTCACGTGACACGTCACGTTTGGCACCCATGCCCTAGAGCACTGATACCAAACCTTTTAGAGACCAAGTGCCCAAACTGCAACCCAAAACCCACTTATTTATGGCAAAGTGCCAGGACTGCATCAGCATTGTGGTGCCCGTGGGGGGCGCAAAGCCCACTGGGTGGGTGTGGCTGCAGTGGTCACAGCAGACTGAGTGAGCATGGCCGGGACCAGTCCCTCACCATCTCCGGGGCATCCCTGGGGGGCCAAAGCCGCTTGCTCCCTCACTTCCTGCCCTGTCACTTCCAAATGCCACATGCTTGCTACTCTGGTGAACTCTGCTGGGCAACGGCGTGCATGCCCACAGAGAGGGCTCTGAGTGCCGCCTCTGGCACGCGTGCCATAGGTTTGCCACCACTGCCCTAGAGTCATAGCTCCTGCTCAATGAACAAGTGGCACCTGTGGCTAGGAGGGCTTTTGCACAATTATGTCTTCTGCACCAACTGCATCCATTCCTGGATTGTAAGGCCTTTCTCAGACACTCACACCTTAGTCACCTTCCATTTAAATTCCTGTAGTATCCTTTTACATAGGAATGCCTTTAAAGAACATTCAGAAGCTGCAGCTGGTACAGAAAGGTCAATTATTGATATATTCAGATATACCAGGGGGACAAAGTATGGGGAACTACAACGGTTACCAATTGGCTCCTTGGATCCAATTGATTGTGGATGTCACTGTTAAAGCCATATTTGTCTCTGGCTTTAGTCATTAAGGAACTATGCCCACCTGGCTGGATCAAGTAGTCAATTCTTTTTGTAGAAGATAATGGCTTATCAAGACTAGAAGGTCCCATTAACGCTGCTAATAGAAATCAGCAGATAATATTACAATAGATCATTGAGATGGGACCGCTATAGAAATTTTCACAAACTATACCAGTTGTGGTGAAGCCGAAACACAATTTGCAACACCACCATAATCTAACAGTTACTACAAGCCAAGGTACCTCGATTCAAAGTCACTGTGTTGCACCCCAAACAATAATATGTAGATGTTGAAGCAGTGGGACTGAGGATGGCTAGAGCTGGGTATGAAGAGAATATTGTTATGCATTTTGCTTTTTAAAAGGTAATCCATGCCACTGGGATAACTTAATTGTGTTGTATTTTGCAGGTAATTATGCAGTATGGGTGTCAGTGTAATGCAGCGATGGCAAACCTTTTAGAGACTGAGTGCCCAAACTACAACCCAAAACCCACTTATGGATCCTCGAGTGCCGGGTGGGTGTGGCCCACTGGGTGGGCATGGCTGCAGTGATAACAGACTGGGTGGGACTAAAAAGTTCAATCAATCAATTCCAACTTTGGAGATTTTTTCTTGCGAGAAGTTGAAATTGATTGAACCTTTTTTTTTTTTTTTGCACACGGCAGCAGAGGCTTAAAGTGAAAAGGTTTTATAAAATCCAGCTGAAGGCCTAGGACTGGGGCAACAGCGCACGTACCCACAGAGAGGGCTCTGAGTGCCACCCCTGGCACCCTTGCAGTAGGTTCGCCACCACTGGTGTAATGCATTGAAGTGAATTACTTGGCAATGTTGAAAAAACGGTCATAAGACTCTGTCAGTTACGGTCCAGACTTTCTGTCTACGTGCTCATTAACTTGTGTTAAAAGCGGGAACTAATACTTGAATCCTATTGGCCGCCGCCTAGTGGCTGAGTGTATAAATAGGGGTGGAGCGGCAGTTATCTAGGCATATGTTTAATCTTTAATAAAGGAGCTGTGTTGCAGCTGCTGCCTCACTGAGCAGCAACGTAACAGTCAGCATGTTTGGGAAGGCAGGCAATCCCTTTCCCGAAGACCTACCTTCAGATACCATCGAAAATCCTCCCCCACCGGCCGGAGGTTTGTGATGTTTTCTAAAGTCGCTTTGAACTGCAACCCGATTTTCTGCAAGGAAGAAGGCCACCCGACCGGTTAGATGCGCCGGGCAGACAATGCCCGCCAGCCTCAAGGCATGCCCGGGCGAGCTGCTTCTTACCCCCATGGCCCGAAGGGGAACGAAAGGAGATGAGCCGGGCTGGGCAATAGAGCACACCCGCTTCTCTCTTCCCACGAACGACGACACGTGAAATTCCACACCTCTCGGAGCGAAATCGGCTGCGGACGCCACTGGGCAGGCGCTCCTCAACTTCCGCGAGACTTGAGTTTGACCTTATCTGGGGAACGGAGAGGCCAGGCGGAGGGTTTCCTCAAAAGCGGAAGGGAGCTCTCCCGTTCTAAGGGACTCAGGTGGTCCTCGAGACGGGGCTCGTCTTCTAGAAACCATCGTTTATCTCGATCTACACACATCCCTAAAGCGGGTAGGCAATCTTAGCTCTTTTATGACTTGTGGACTTCAACTCCCAGAATTCCTGAGCCAGCATTGCTGGCTCAGGAATTCTGGGAGTTGAAGTCCACGAGTCATAAAAGAGCCAAGGCAGGGCCTACTTGTGGAGACCTGAAGCAATCCACATCTGTTCCTCCTCTCAGCACCGCTTTGTATTCGATTCACTGGATCCGATGGCAAATTGAGACTTCGATTTGATTCGGTTTACTCTGCTTGCAGCCCGAAGCAGGTTTCGAGGTGGGCGTTTGGGGGAGTGTTCTGGCGTTTTTTGAGATCTTGGTCAGCAAAAATTCGGGCGATCAGATGCTGCCGTCTAATGGCAGCCTGAATTTTTGCAGTGTGGAAGCAGGAACTCTATCGGACCTGCTGGATCCGTGAAGATTATAGAAATTGAAAGGGGATTCGCCAGTTCAAAAGACTCCCTTCTTTAAATAGGGAGTAGAAGATATTTAACTCCGAATTCTGAGAGTTGAAGCCAAGAAGCCTTCAAAGTTGCCAAGTTTGGAGACCCCTGTTCTAAGTCATTCCTCCCCACCTTGGACGCTTTTCAAATGTGTAAACTCCCAGTTCCTACAAAAGCATGGCTATTGCCTTCTGTGTATGTATGTAATTTATATGCCATGCAACTGGTTATCTTCCCCTGGCAGTGAGCCACACATACACATCTCCAAATAACAGGTGATCTGTTATTCATATTAGCTATTTAAAGCTCAGGGGAAATAATTTCTGTATTAAAACCCTCCCGGTGGTGACAATAGCAGGAAAATTGGCCTTATGCATACAAAACATTGATCATACACTATTCTAAATTTAGACCACCAGGATTATTGGAAGGAGGAAAACGAGGTTCAATTACTTCTAAATACTATATAAGGATACCAATTCATTTAAATTGTAAACAGTAGCAGTGGTCTGTTATTTTACAACCACTTGATTTTATTAAAATATACAAAGTCAAATTTCAATCAAACACTAGTAGCACACTATATGCATATATCATGCAGATATGGCACACACTGACTTCTGTGGTTTTATGTGAAATGTTACACCCTATCATCTGATCACTGTTTCAACCTTCATTGCCAAAAACAAAAAAGTCCACCAACCCCTTTCTTTTTTAGGTGCCATATGTAGACAAAACTTGGAAGATACAATAAATGGGCCAAATTTCTTATTTGGTTCACTAGGAAACTTGCTATTTCACAGAATACCTTATTCAAATATAAGATTGTTAAAACAGACAAAAAAAGATTCTGAAGGAAACTCAGTTGAGGTGATGCTAAGTTATTGATGATTTGGTAAATTGTTCTAATAAACCTATTGAACTAAGCCCAGAAAATAGGATGAATTTGGAACCGTGATATCCCAGTAAATTGCTGCAGATTACTGGCCTCTAATAAACGATAGCAACACAGCTATTTTATTTATCTTATTTTTAACTACTTAATACAAAATAATTATCTAATTCTTATTCCTAGTAAAATGTTGTTGCATTAAAAATGCAACCCAATAATGTCTATCACCATAAGATACTGGTCTATATAGTTGCACCTGTTTCTTAATATATGGAAATTTCTTCCATAATCACTTGTTCTGAATTATGGAAGCTCTGCTTTCTTCCACTGTATTTCGGAAAAAGCTAAAAATCCATTTTCATGCACAGTTCCTGAACATAACTAGTTACTTAACTTTCTTCACAGTACAGAATAATCATGTACATATCTAGATGAAAGTGTTGACTTTTGTTATATTACCAACCCCCTCAAATTCATGCAAACATAAGGAACATGAAAACAGCAGATCCCTAAAATATGAATCTTGTTTTACAAAGACTTTCTAAATAAAAAGAAAAAAAGTCTTAATTTTTATTAAATCACTCTGTATAAAAACAGACATACATAAACGTTATACAAGATACGGAATGAAAAGAATCCCACCCCCCAAAAACTTTACAAATTTAGATTCACACAATTTAGATTGGTTTAATCTTGAAATGTAATCCAATGAGACTGAAGACTAGACACTTGAGATCTTGGACAAGATAATAAAACACTCTTAGACCTTCTGGATCCCTGGGGAGCAAAATGAAAAAAACACATAATTAAAAGTAAGAAATTGTGACATCAAAATCATTATCTTCATCAGGAAAACAGATATTTCCAGGCTATCAAAATGTCAAACAACTTTTAAAAGCACTATGAAATTGACCTGCCCTCATTTCTCATTTTTAGTAAATAAAAATACTTTAATATTCTACAAATTGATGTATTAATATGCATTCCTCCAGTTTTTGAGTCAGCAGAAAAATATGCCTGAATCATTGATCAGGCATACAAAAACAGAAGCCTCTATGGAAATATCCCACCCAAAATAGCCATGAAACACAATTCTCAGACATTGGAAGGGAGAAGGCATGCCCAGAACAACTTCCACTAGCCAAGAGGAACTTGGCAGATGCCAGCCCCTTAGCATTGTAGATCGTTCCTAGACCAAGTCTTATGTGGGGAGAAAATGGGAAAGCTTATTTTAAAATGGGAAAAGCCAAGAACTAATTTATGTTGTTTCCAAAGAGAGTGGGAATTACACAAAATATAAGCGCTTGTCCTCTAAAACTGGGGAGTGGAATATTTTTACGTCAATGATTAGTGGGACACAAAGAGGAGCTTTTATTTTCCACTAAGGTACAGACTATGGCTGCATTGTTCATAAAGGCATTCAAGACAAGGCAGCTAGGATACACCTACCGTATTTGCCGGCGTATAAGGTGACCTGGCGTATAAGACGACCCCCGACTTCGGTGCCGATTTCTGCGCTTTAGAAAGTCGTCTTATACGCCAGAAAATACGGTACATTGCTTCTGCTCCTCCTGTATCCCAAACTGGTGCCATCTTATTGCTGAACTCACAGATTTAATTCCTTTGATTTTAAATGGCCCTCCCACTGTCTTGGACAGCACTTACTTGGACTGATTCACGTCAATAAGAGAACCAATTTTTGATGTTGTGAAAGAGATATGTTCATCCCCGATCACAATTTCAAGCTCCTAGGAATAAATAAACAAGAAAACAAAACACATTTAGAGTAGATTATCATTTTTATGAAGCCTGAATTTCTCTTCTCCGTGTTCCCTCATAACATCCATAATGATGATTCAAGTCCAAAGCAAGATGTTCTACGTACTAGAACAAATATTTATATTCAGCTGTTTAAGGGGCTGTAGCCACTTCAAAGCAGAAAGAACAATCTTAACCACATATTTATATTGACAGAATTAACAAATTAACATCTACCAGAAACTCAAATATTATGTTGGGTGGGGTATGATGCAAATAAGACTGAGATTTTAGTTTTTACTTTCTTGTATTTGGGAGATTATTGAGGCCTATTTATTTTAGGAATTATTCTGCAGCTTTTGTGTTTTGTCTCAAAATGAAATAAACAAATCACCAATGTTTGCTCATGTCAGAGAAATTTTTGGACTTTCAAAAATAAACTTGGGGGCTGGATTCCTGTTCCCCTGGGATTAGAGTTGTTGGGGACATGGGTCCATTGCTTTGTGGCCTATTATTACATCATCCAGAGACATATCTATATATTACGAGTGACTGATGTTCTTCACCAGATATACTTAGCATAGGGTACCAGAACATTTTCGGATTGATGGGATAATTTGGGCCCCATGGGTATGCTCATGTGATAATTATATGATTTTTTAGCTTCCAAAAGGAGATTTTAAAAATAAAATATCCAACTTTACATCTCTTAGCAAAGGACTCTACATCCACTTCCTAGTTTAATCTTCCTCCAGGTACATTGGTCTTCCAACTCCAAGAATTCTCTAGCCAACATAACCATTGCTGGGAATTCTTGGAAGTTGCTCCATAAACTACTGTAACCACATCTACACTGATCTGCTACAGATTGCTGGTTGTGCACAAACATGTAGCTGGTTCCTTTAAAGCATCTGTATGATAAATGGGAAATCTGCTAACCTGTCGGCCAACTCTATCCGGCGGAGGCCACAATGCATCATCTTCTTTTGTAATTTCACTGTCATCAATGATCCTCTTTAGTTCTTCCATCACACTTTTATGTACGTAAGCCTAGAAACAATGTAGAATATTAGCATGATTCTGCCATATTTTTTAAAAAAGACATAGAAGACTCATTTCTCTTCTTTTCCATTTATACAAGTATCCATCAGAAGAATTAGAAAGGGAAAAAAACCCCAGTACGAGTACATTTGCACAGTACAGTCAATGCTAGTCGCTTTAAAGGATCCTTTTAGAGGTTTGATTTTCAGCAAGACAACTGAGAGAGGAGTTTTACATAGAAACATAAAACAAGTAGAAAATGAATCATTAACTCTCAGCATTCTCAAAATCATGGACCAAGTTAAAAAATAATTCTGAAATGTCATTAATTTAATTTACTATTCAATGAATTGCAGATATACTGAAACAGTCCACTTACTTCTTTTCTGATCATGACATCATTTTTGTAATTGCTGTTATTTGCATATCTCAGTTTACCTGTTGAAAAAGATTACACTAAACATTACAAGAAAAACGTAAACAAAAGAGCATTTCATTTAATTTCAATAACACATTGATCATAATTCCACAAATTAAACAAAGAACAAGGAAGTGAAAGCAGTTGCACTCAAGCAAGGGAAAAAAGGATCACTCTTAATTTCTGAAGTCTTCTGTTCAGCTTCCCTTTAACTACTGATTATGCTGATTCCTCTGTAATTCTCACCAAGATCAAAATGTATAGGTAGGCTTCACTCCATGCAAGGAAACTGTTCTGGATGCTATTTAAATGGGCACTTTCCTACTGAGCTAACCAACCCAGTGATTGATGATGAAGAGTCTGGCTACTTAGTGATTCCATAACAGAATTATTTTTTCAAATTTATATTTCTATTAGATCCTCTCCTTATCTTGGAGTCCGTGGCTGTATCTAGAGGCCTGCCTTATTTCCCACAAAACTGTTTCATATTCCACTATCCTTCAAGCAATGAGCAACTAGCTTTAATTCTCACATAAGCAATCCATCTGTTATTCCACTAGATCAGCTATGAGATCCCTTTACCCATCTTATCTCTCCAGGAGTACAATTACAACCTGTCAAAACCCAATCCGTTCAGAAATGAGCAAATTCCGCCGATCACTCTAACATAGCCCCGGTGCAGTCTCGTATTCGCCTTTGCTTTTTCCCTCAGCAAACATCAACCAGTCCTTCCTTCACCGGGTCTGTTCCTCCCATCCTGTTCCGCTATCTCACCGGCATAAGCAAGATCTATTCTTTCCTGGGCAAATACTTCCTTGCCTTGTTCCTAGAAGCCACCATGCCTGTTGCTCCGGGACCGACTAACAGTGGTAGTCTCACCGTCAGGACGGAACTCGAACTCGAGAAACTCATGGCCAAACTTGCCCTTGTGCCCAACGTAGTAGCGCAAATAGAAATCGCTCGCCATGATCGAAGAGCGCCCACCGGAAACCAGCATGCACCGCGTTCGGCAAACTTAGCCTACACGGAGGGGCGCCCGAAGAATACGTCATCAACTGGAAGAGTCGCACAAAATGACTATCTCTCGCTCGCTCGCTCTCCTCGCATGCGCAGGAAATGGCTTCCATAGACTTATACTGAATAGAGCCGCGCGTCGCTCTACAAGTTATGCAGAATACTTCCGGTTTAGGAGAACTGCTTCTCTTTCAATCAGAAATTCCATGATTTTTCACTATAGAGTGGACAATGTCGAAAATACTTATTGCGACTAATGCGGAATCATAGCCAGGATCTGTAATTGGAGAGCTAAATACGGATTTAGGTGCCTAATTTCCTTGATCTTTTTTAAGCCAATTGGTTAAGGATGGATGTAGGAAATCCGTTCTGTAGCCCCACTACCAAAGTGGAGCAAGCAGAGATCCTAAATAAAGAGAATATCTATAGCTCAGGACTGAAATGCGAAATCCTTGATACTTTCTAAGGTTGACTGCTTACAGACGTTTTTACCTTTGCTCATTTCCAGTATTCAACTTTCTGCAGAAGTCTTGTGCTTTACTAAATTCTAAAGCTCATTATAGTTGCAGATTTAGGACCCAAATAAGACCATAAGATAAGGTAAGATAAGATAAGATAAGATAGGATAAGATAACCTTTATTGTCATTTTTATACTGTGGGCACAATGGCACACATCAAAAATGAAATTTAGTTGCCCACTCTCAAAGTGAAACACACACGACACAGACCTAAACATACTATGAACAACATATGTATAGACCCACATCCCTACATATACATAGCAAATAAATATTAAATATTGTCCATCTTGAACATATAACAGAAGGGGGAAGCTTCAGAGTTCGCAAGGTTAATGCTATATGGAATGAAACTCTGGATGAATCTGGATGTTCTGCTTCGGATACCACGAAGCCTCCTTCCAGAAAGTAACAAGGAAAACAGGTCGTGAAGAGGATGTGTAGCGTCCCAGATGATCTTATGGACCCTGCTCAAGCAGCGCTTCTGTGCTATGTCCTGGATGGGAGGGAGGGAACTGCCAATGATCTTTTTGGCCGTGGGGAAGTCCACTGTGATCATTTTAGTTACTTTAGCTACCGAAAGGAATGGTATATGGTTTAAGAATGTTAAGAGGTTGCATCTCTTGAATTTACCAGCAATCTACAACAGTTTATGTCCTTATGCCTACAACAGATGACAACTTTATATCTAGTGAACTGGCTGATAACAAAGTAAGCTAAGCATCAGGATTAGTCCTGGTTTTTACTTGAATCTTCAGAGAATTCTAAGATGATAAGCATGTGGCATAGTGATGCAATGGTTAGAATGCAGTATTGTAGGCCAGGGTCCCCAACTCCCGGTCCGTGGACCAGTCCTGGGCTGAGGCATGCCAGCAACTGGTCCGCACAAACAAGCAAAGCCCCATCTGCGGGATGCAGGCAGCACACAAAACCACACCCCCTCCGGTCCACAGAAAAACCTCTCTCCACATAACCGGTCCCTGGTGCCCAAAAAGTCGGGGACCTCTTTTGTAGGCTGACTCTTGTCTACTGCCAGGAGTTTGATCCTGACCAGCTCATGGTTGACTCAGCCTTCCATCCTTCCAAGGTTGGTAAAATGAGAGTCCAGATTGTTGAGGTCAGTATGTTGACTCTGTAAACTGCTTAGAGAATGCTATAAAGCACCCTGAAGTGATATATAAGTTTAAGTGATTAGAGACAGCCTGGTCTAGTGATTAAGGTACCAGACTGTAAACCAGGACACTTGAGTTGTAATCCCTCTTTAGGCATCAAAACGGGCTGGGTAACTTTGGGCCAGTCACTTTCTCTCAGCCCATCATGTTAGACTTGGGCAGTTTCTGTCAAAACTGATGGATCAACACTCTGTTGACCTGAAAAAATCAGATTGTGTCCTAAGGGGGAAAAAAGTCACATTGTTCTGTTGCAACAGATGATCATAGCTCTTGTTCTGTTGAATGATTACTTGTCTCTACAGGAAATCCTCACTTAACAATCAGTTGCTTAGTGACTGAAGTTACAGACCACCCAAAAACTAATTATGACTGTATTCCAGAGTTCCAATGGCTGCATACCCTCACAGTCACATAACATTTCAGGTGCTTGGTAACTGGCTCACCTTAATGGCTGGTTGTAGCATTGTGTGATCATTCTGGTTTCTGGCAAAAAAACGCCCATAGGAATATATGGATTCACTTAACAGCCATAGTTTTGGTTGACCACCCAAAAAGTGATAAAATTGGGTGGTCACATGGGTACCTCAACTTATGAAGTTCATAACTTAAAATCCCAGGCTCCATTATGGCTGTAAGTTGAAGACCACCTGTACTGCTGTTGGTAGCTTTCACATCACATATAAAATTTAGGTTCTGGGTTCCTTATTAATTAGTATAAAAACTGTTGAATCTGTAGTTTAGTCTTTGTGGTAAAATATATCAAGGAGGGCCACGTAGCCCAGAGATAGAATGTATTACAATGAAATATTATGAACAAGAAAGGATGCTTTTTAGCAGGGAGTAAAATTTCAGTTAGGTTGCTAATTTGGCGAAAATTTGGTTGTTTAGCCAAAACTTCATTTTCTGGTCAATTGCGTGATAGCAATGCTAAGAGAAAAGGCAGCATAAGATCAGAAAGGTATTTGGCAATTAGTTTTATCAAAGTGGGACTTTTAAATATTCTTATAGCCTTAATAAAGATGTTATCAGTTCAATGGCACTTGGCAGATTTTTAAACTCTATTCTTTAAATTGCAAAATCCACTACGGAAAAAAAGAGACCAAGGTATTCTACTTTTCTAGGGTTAGGGGGTTCTTAAGAAAATTTTGAGACTGTGTTATGGGCATTTTTACTGAAGGCTGATCTTGGTCATTTGCAAGTATTGCTTTACTTGGTGTGGTTAGTCATAAACTTCCCAAAAGGCAATCTGATCAGGATGTTCTCTAATAAACCCTAGTTTGTATTCCCTCCCCTCCGAGGTGCTAGAAACTCTTTCAACCAAAACATTAGTTTGAAACCCATTTCTATTTTCTACAACCATCTAGGCCCAAAGGCATTTTTAGAAACATATTTGATGTAAGAAATTCATATTTTGGTTTGCAGCATGCAGCTTCCTGTTTAATGTTTTTAAACTTAAATTCCTGTTTTAAATGCAGAGGGAGTCAAATCCTCTCAGAAATTCAGAAGGACCCAGATCATCTCCAACTTTTGAAGTCCCATGTAAAAAATAAAAAATGACATGAAAATAAAATACAATTAAGTTCTAAGGGCCAGATAGCCTCCCACCTCATAGCTTTCTTTGCCTGTTTTTTGACTGACCTCAAGCATGTAGATTAAATAGAAGCTCAGAAAGATGTAAAGATTGATCAGAAAGAAATTTACCTGAGAGAAATATATTCATGCCTACTTAACCACTGCAACTCGCTAATAAAATGCAATCACACAATTTTCATGAGATTAAGACTTTAAGGTAGTCCTTAAATCTATCAGAGGAAGAAGTCTATGAACAAATATTCACCCTCTTAGTTTCAGGAGCACTAGATAATTGGATGCTTTTCCCCTATAAGGCACCTGAGAACCTCCAGATGACTTGTTAATAAAGCTACGTGCAGGCTTGCAATGTTATATTTGAAGTCAACTTATGTTTTCTTCAGCCCCACCATTAAAAATAACACAACACACATCGCAAATAGTCAATAAAAAAATTTAATATCTCTATAGAAACAGTTACAAATGTATTCATTTGGTTTTTCAATATCCCCTATGGATGTAAGTATCAGAAACAGCAGAGTCCTCCCTTCTCCATATCCTTAACCCAGTGTTTCTCAATCCTGGCAACTTTAAGATATGTGGACTTCAGCTCCCAGAATTCCCCTACCAGCATACTGGCTAGGGAATTCCAGGGTTTGAAGTCCACATATCTTAAAGTTACTAAGGTTGAAAAGCACTGCCCTAGACTATTTGTTCAGAATAAAAACAAACAGAAAAGGCACCAAACGAGAGCGCTGCGTTCTAATGGAATTTCATTGTGACAAGACAAAGCTCAAAAATGATTATTGTACAGTGATAAACAAATTTTTAATGTTCCCAGTTCTGTATTGAAAATATTTTTATTTTAAGGAAAATTTGATTATCAACTCGATGTAATTACAAACCTGTCATATTGGAAATCAGGAAAACAGAGTAATTCACAACGGTTTGGAGAAAAATTCCATCATTATACATAGGATTTATACAATCTTTTACTTTTTTTTTAAAAAAAGTATCAAAATGGTAAATTACTCAAATCTATATACAGTTTGAGGTTAGTTACAGTTATTAGATACAAAGCCTTTTACTTCTTTTTATAATTTTATTCATGCACACAGTGCATGGTTTTGTAGTAACTGAGTAGAGCAGCTTTAAATATTTTCTTTTCCCTCTACATCTTTCTTCAGAAGTGTGTATTTGACTCTAAAGCGTCTATTCTCAAAATCTAGCAGAAGAAATAGGACATCCTTTCTTCTCAATACCCATTATAAACAAGCAGCAAACTGAATAAACTTTGCAAGGTGCAGATTTTATTATACTCTTTTAACTTCTCTCTCACTTATCCTTAACGTGAAGGACCAGTTTAGGCATATTGGTATTTGTCATCAAGGGATGACTTCCCATTATTAGAGAGTCATCTTGAATATTATGACTTACATCAATGAATGTGTTTGTGTGCATGTATGTATGTGTGTGTATGTATATATATATATATGTGTGTGTGTGTGTGTTTGTGTGTGTGTAAAATAGTTGAACAGCCATCATAAACATGAGATACTCTCTGTGTATACATGTCATCATGTAAGCTGGAAGCAATTTTGCAACCATTAGACCATCTGTTTTGTTTGCAAAGAAAATCTCTGACATCTGTGAAAGTACAAGATTGTCTTTGTATCATTATATTTCAAACAAAAGTTCCATTTGTTATGAAATTGACTCTATGAAAGGCAGAATCTTTTTTAAACCAATCCAGTATTACAGTGATTCATATACTGTACAAAAGTTGCAATTCAAGACTACCTGGCAGAACAGAGGAGATATAATAGCCACCTATTAGAACTGCTCTGCTTGTACTGTAGATATTGCTTATTCATAAGAATGATTGAACATTTAATTATTTCTAAGAGATACTAGGCAAAAAATAGTTATACAGCAATCTTCAGTTTCACAGCTCAGTGAACTAGTGCACACAAATAGCTATTCAGAGTACCAAAATTAAGGAATTTTAACAAGATTGCAAATCCCTGTTCAGCTAAGCCTGGCACTGGTATCTGCAATAGCCACAATCATGGGAAAATGACATGACATATGCAATGACAGGCAAAACCCAGTTTTGTGCACTAGTGTCCTGATGTCTGGCACAAATATATGTAAGTCATAGTTGTTTGGGTCATGATGACATTGTGCATTTTCTTTTTTGTCACATGCCCCCCATGATCCCCATGTAGATTTATGCTCTCTAGTTAATGTCATGGCCTGGCATTTACTTTTTACAGTAAATTAACCTGTCTATTAAAAAAAAACCTCTGGAATTATTCTGGGACATGTATTTTTCAGGATGCCGATCCAGATAAAGTGGATCCTTTTGGTCCTTTCCATTAACCCACATCAGCTGGGAAAAAAAATATTCAGGAATACATCCAAGCTCTCTGGTAACTACAACTTTTAGGATAAAAAAATGAGTTCCAGGGAGGTTGAGAGATTGTTTAGTTAAATACTCAGAAGTGGTCCTTTGGGATACCATTATCAGTCCTATGCTTTACACTATTGTGCTTTTCATCTGAGTACAATCAGATCAAATGTTGTTGTTCAACAACTGGATCCACAGCAAAATCCAAATAAATAAGTGGGCCCACTGACCATATAATACCTTTATTATACCAATAAGGATGTGCCACTTTGACTTGCCTAAATTATGGATTTTTCCCCTCTAGAGTTCTCTACTATAATTAGCTGAAAATTGAATTAAATATGGCAGATCCAAGCAACACTTAATACAGCACTATACTACCTGAACAGTTTTTTTATCATGATCCAAATTCTTCAATAATGCTTCCTTACAATGTAGTCCTGTGAATGGTGGCAAAAATCCCTTCCAATTGTAATTCAAAGTTTCTTGTTTAAGGCCAAGTATGTTTTACTGCTTCCAGTTGCTTGTGGTTGGAAAATTTATCCAATTTCTTATTGCAATTATCAATTGCTTCTTTTGTAACCACTATATAATTGCTCCAAGACCAGTTTCTGGATTTATTATTATTATTTAGTACAGCTCTGCATTTCCCCTCTCTTTTAATCATTTACTTGGGAAATTTATAAGGGAAATACAATTTCCCACAGGAAGAGAAAATTACTTTAGGCTAATTAAGAGAAAGTGCAATTAAACAACCAAAATGTAATTAACAAGATTCAATGAAACAGTAATATCTGCAAATCAGAAACTTAAATTAAAAGCATAGGGTACCCCGAATAGCAAAACAACATTTGTGCTATTCATACAGCAAGAGGACAAGTTGGTGCAATCTTTTTAATACCACTTCTTCCCCGACCTCTGCATATTATACGCTTTGATGTCATCAACTTCACTTTAATTCTTTATAAGCTGTGAATAAATGGGGAATGATCATTCCAGACAAAAGGACTATAATCTTGGATCATTAGTTCCACTAATTTGAATTAACAGCAAAGATTATTAGCAGAACAATGACTTTTATTTGCTTATAGTTACCTATAATAATAATTTCATCAGATTTGGCTTAAAACTGATCCCATATATTTGGAATAGCGGCCAATGTCTCCAGCCCACTAAAACCAGTGTTTCCATAATCTTATGTCCACTTAAGAGTAAAAAGAAGCAAGTCTCACTGAACTCCATGTGATTTACTTTTTAAAAACATACTTAGAATTGTTCTGCACAGGTAACACACTGGGGGGGAACCCTTTCTTACATTCATTAAATAAGCTCTAAAAGAAAATTAGGTATATTTGGTGAACACTTTTTTTGAAGCAAAAATTAAGCTTTATAGCTTAAAAATTAATAAGGCTAACCAATATATGATTACTTTGAAGAGTGCTCACTGATTTAATGATCCGTTTTCTTAGAAACTGTACTACAGATGGCATCTTAAATTTGCTTATATCTTGCCAGGTTAATGATTTGGGATTTATAGGCACTGTCCCCATTTTTATAGGGCAATGCGTGTAGCGATGTTTTGAGCTTCTCCATTTACTTAAAAAGGGTACCTCTGTTCACCCGGCCTTTAGGAGCACAAATATTCTTTCTGATAAAGCAGATGGGGAAATCTATGCAAGGGGCTCATGGGTGGCATGAGAACTCTGCCTTTGCTGGGATGTGCAAGCGTCAGAGCCATGCGCTGGTCTACTTTTCAGGCACAGGTAGTCCTTGACTTACAACCATTTGTTTAGCGACGGTTCCAAATTACGACAGCACTGGAAAAAAAATTGATATACAACTGATCCTTGCACTTAGGACTATTGCAGGATCCCCACAATTACAGGATCAAAATTTTGGTGCTTGGCAACTGGCAATTTATGAGGATTGCAGCAACCCGGGGTCATGTGATTGCAGCATCCCAAGGTCATGTGATTGCCATTTGCCACCTGCCCAGCAAAGTCAACGGGGAAGTCAGATTCACTGATCAGCTGCAGTGATTTCACTTAACAATAGTGGCAAAAATGGTTATAAAATCACGCTCAGCTCACTTAATTGCTTTGCAGTGGAAATAGTAGTTGTATGTTGAGGATTATCTGCAGTTTGGTTTGTTCATGATGGGAACACTTTGTTTCTTGAGCATTTTTTGGATTATCTTATTGTAACATCTATAGTTCTCACTCAGCGGCTTTAGACTTTGTAGCCAAGTTTTCACTAAACATCCTTTAAGAATTAAATTACTCTACTTCCCATAGAGTTGAGCTATTCTTTCTAAAATATATTCATATATGTATATTTATAGATGTGAATGTCTAGATACCTATCCAGCCTTGATAGATATTCAAATTTTCTCTGCAATACGAATCAAAGGTAAAAAAAAAATATAAATACTCTTGTCCTCTACATATATGTACAGCTTAAAATTGATATTCAGAATTTGTTAATAAATAGTCTAAATGGTTTATACAGATCTCTCTTTCTGTCTCTATATTGATAAGACAGCCACAAAGTATGCCTGACATATTTACAAGACATCTATAAATATAATTTTTAGAAACGATGTGTCAGCTGCTGATCCTTGGATTGGACTGGCAGCATTCAGTAGTAGAGTAGGCTTCTCACTATTACAGATGGATAGTGCAAGAAGTTAAAAGGGTGTATAAAAGATTATACATACAAAACTCTCACATCCTTTGGATGTTTGCAGTTCGTTACAACTTTGTGGTTACCCTTTTGCAACATAAATATAAAGGAGAGGAGAAGGAAAGAGAAGAGGGTGGATTCCATTAGCCACAGTAGATAGGTTCAGTGCATATCTTTCGATCCATTAACCATGGTTTATTCCTCATGGTAGCCCATCATCTTCTAGACTTAATGCCACACGCTGTTAAGAAAGAAAAAGTAGTGTCACCATTTCAAAACTTAGTACAGTATGACAAGGCATAAAGTTTACACTAGCTGATGCTCTTCTATTAAGAGATCGTTAAGGTAAGAAATAACTTGACAAAGGTACCTTTACAGTCGTTTATCTGGTATATATATATATTTCCTTAAGGGTAAGCTGGAGGATACCGGTACAGTGTGCACTACGGGTAGTCTTCAACTTACAACCAAAATTAAGCCCAAAATATCCCATGCTAAGCAAAACAGTTGTTAAGTGAGCTTTAGTTCATTTTATGACCTTTCTTGCCACAACTGTTAAGTCAGACATCTTCAAACCTGGCCCTTTTATGACTTGTGGGCTTCAACTCCCAGAATTCTTCAGCCAGGCAGTACAGAGAAGAGCAACAAAGATGATTAGGGGATTGGAGGCTAAAACATATAAAGATCGGTTGCTGGAATTGGGTATGTCTAGTTTAACGAAGAGAAGGACAAGGGAGGGATATGATAGCAGTGTTCCAATACCTCAGGGGCTGCCACAAAGAAGAGGGAGTCAAGCTATTTTCCAAAGCGCCTGAGGCAGGACAAGAAGTAACAGGTGGAAACTAACCAAAGAGAGAAGCAACCTAGAACTAAGGAGAAACTTCCTGACAGTTAGAACAATTAACCAGTGGAACAACCTGCCACCAGAAGCAGTGAATGCGCCAACACTGGAAGTTTTTAAGAAGAAACTGGACAGCCATTCGTCCAAAATGCTACAGGGTTCCCTGCCTGAGCAGGGGGTTGGACTAGATGACCTCCAAGGTCCCTTCCAACTTTATCATCATTATTATTATTAAGTCATAAAATGGCCTAGTTTGAAGACCCCTGTGTTAAGTGAATGAAGGTGAAGGTTCGTTCTCCAAGCTTGTGGGTTGGTTTCTAATATAAACGATGTTAACCTGGTAATGAAACGTTCAGAAACCAACCCACACACATGACCCTGGGACACTGCAACCATCACAAATACATGCCAGTTGCCAAGCATCCAAACTTTGATCACATGGTCATGGGGATGCTGCAATGGCTGCTAAGTGTGAAAAAGGGTCATAAGTCACTTTTTTTAGTGCCGTTTTACCTTTGAACGGTCACTGAATGGATGGTTGTAAGTCAAGGACTACGCGTATTTGTAAATAATACCTGTTTCTTTCGGTAGTGAGATGTGTGGCATATAAATTTAATATAAATTTAATAAACAAACAATATAATAAATAATAACCATTTCTTAAACTAACTTATATTTTGATGCAGAGAAATTGGAAGGCAGAAAATACTCAAATGCTGCATTTTCTTGTTTTATAACACGTAGACCGTATGTGCTTTCATACCTATTTAGTTTAAAAATTAAATACTATCAACCAATCATTGACAATAGATCAGTACTGTGAAGCCAGTTAAATTGGTTTAGATGGATTGATTTAATAACCTGAATTCTCAGTTTCTTCGCATTTGGGCTAAGATTTGAACATGCCACTTAGAAAATAAAGAGTACATAAATCTGATTAGTTTTGTAAACCTACCTATTTGATTGATTGGTATGTTTTCTCATATGACCCCAGGAGGGAAAATATGGCTGCTTTAAAGACAAATGCTATGGTTGCTCTCTCATATGCTTTAAGAATGCAACACTACTCTATGCCTTTTCCCAAAATAAGTGAAAAATCTTTTTTCTTTAGATAGGCGAAGGAGCCTGTTCTAAATCTACCACATCTCAAGATATTTAAACATTTTGAGATAATCCAGACAGATTTGAGAGGACTCACATGCTATGCAATGATGTTATTTTTCGCTATTATACCATGCCCCAGAAAGGAGCATGCCTCTAACATACGTTGACAAGGTATTTAAGATTATTGTCTATTTATCACTACACCATTAGCAGTACCCATTTGAATGGCTCTTTCTCCTTCCTTTGTATAAGGAGATAACTGTGTAAACTACTTTGATGTACATTGAAATACTTTTCTTTGGGACAAAAGGAGACACATATAACACATCCTTATACTGAACCTGATTCAAGGGCTGTTCAGCCATAAAGATAAGATTAGGTGCTTATTTCTTTAGTAAAATTATATATCACCAGTTTCAATGAACTGATTGACAGTGATTTTGTCAAACGTCAGGGAAATCAGAGATCCCAGCAATTCAAATGGGTATAAAGATTTATTGCAAGCTTCAGCTTTCTACAAGAATCTGAACTACTAATGGCCAAAGAAAATTGGTGGTAGATAAGGGTAGAAGGAATTCAAAGTGGGCTGGACTTAGATTGCTTGTGGGTATGGATAGACTCATGTCCGATGACGTGTTTGACCCCTCCCTCGGGCTCAGCCTGGTCATCTCTCACAGATTCATAGCAAACATCTACAATAAGGAAAAATAAATACCACAGTAGCAGGACTCAAATGAATACAGTGAATAATGTAGTAGACAGTGGATAAAGCATCCACTTACTGCAGGGTACACGTGTCCAATCTGTACTGTTCGCCCAATATGGATTTCATCCTCATCCTCTTCTTCTGTAGTCTTCCTGTACACAGGATTATCAAAATTCATGCTTTTTGTATTTTTCCTCTTCCAATTTCGCCAGATGAGATACCCACCTGTGCACACTAAGCCAATCACCACTAGAAGCAAAAAAAAAAAAAAGATAGGGGAATCGGAGAAAGAAATAAAAAGTATTAGCTGTCTCAGAAAGGCCATCATATTTCAGCTGGCTCACTCATGGGATTTCTTTTCTGAATCTGTTAGGCCAGCGTAGCAAAACCAAAATGAATGGCAAGATAGCAAACACTCACTTACCAATAGGAACAACAATTCCGATAACAGCTGCCATCACAGTTGATCCAAAAGCCTGGCCATTGTTAGCATCTGCAATTAGAGAAGAACAACTCAGATTCCTATAAAGCAGAGGTCCCCAATCTTTTGGGCATCAAGAACTAGTTCTGCGGAGAAACGTTTTTTTCACAGACTGGAGGGTGCATGATTTTGTGTGCTGCCTGCATCCCACAGATTGGGCTTTGCTTATTTGTGCGGACCGGTTGCTGGCATGCCGCAGCCTGGTACCGGTTCACAGACCAGGGGTTGGGGACCCCTGGTATAGATGCAGATACTCAGATATTGCTCAGAACTATGGTTGGTAAGAATCAGAAAATAGCTGTTAGCATTTGCAGTAGGACTTCCATTCTGCCTACTTGTTTTGAGAAAGCCATTGTTCTGGTATACTATCACCAGGGATGGTGCCATGGAGAAAGGCTTTTCCCACAGAATAGAGGGGGTGTGGTTTTGAATATTGCTTGCATCCCGAGGATGGAGCTTTGTTATTTTTTATGTGGCCCGCTTGTTGGCGTGCTGCGGACCAGTGCCGGTCCACAGACCAGGATTGAGGACCCCTGCTATAAAGGACAATAATAAGGCCTGCAACAGCTGCCCAATTCCACATAGATGGCAAATTGCAACCTCATCAAATGTACTGTAATTTTTGCATTAGGTACATACACTCACCACTGTTTGAACAATGACTCCTGACATATCCTTTAAGGGCCAAAAACAGCAGTTGGCCAGGAAAAAGTGGTGCTTTTTATTAAATCTAGATGTCACTTTAATCACAGACTTTCTAGTAGATGTGAAAGTAAAGTACTATTGTAAATGTATTTGATTTAACCACCCCAACCAACTCTCCTCACAACTTCATTTCATATTTTCTATTTCAGTTTTGAATCTGTGTTAAAGAGGGAAAAAGATGAAAAAGAGGAAGAACTAATATTAAACTGTTTTGAGATAACTATATTTTGGGCTACTCTATTATTTTGGGATTCCTGAATCACTTTTAGGTACATTGCAGAACTTTCTTCCAAAAAGCCCAATGCCAGATTATGGCAACACATAGAAACTTAAGTTTTTGTGCAAGGGGGAACTTTTGGATGCTAGGCCTGACCGCTGGAAGTAGACAGGGGATCAAAAAGGGAAATATTTTTATATTAAATAAAAGAAAAGTAAGAGAGAAATCCTCTGTTTTGTTTCTACAAACGCAGTGCCAACTCAAGCTATTTGGGGAAGTAGAAAGAAATTGCCTTTGCTTATTTACTTTAAAATGGTATGTCAGTCCCAATTTTTACCACTTAGCTATAGGCCATTTCACTCACAGTGCTGGAAGAGATTGCTATTTCCTGCTGCTATTTTACTGTCTGCTGGGCTGGATGTCATTGTGATCGAATGAAGGCTTGTCATGCCAAGAACGATTTGTGCTGTAGTTTCTGATCCTTCCGTACTAACATTGTCAGTTGTGGTAGTCATATTGCCAGTAGTAATAGCTGTGAAGTTCAGAAGGTAACTTCTTGATGTGGTAGGAGTAGCAGCAGTAGTAGGCAAATCAGTTGAGGTAGCTGGAAGTTCTGAAACCATTATAAAACACAGCCTTATTTATATATTTTTATTCAATGTATATGGATGCCTATCTCCCTGTTGTGACTTTGGGTAACCTTCCACAAAGTGGTGCCTTCCAATTGCACTGGACTATATTTCCCTTCTTTAGCCAGCAAGGCCAACAGATATCCCAGGGGTCTGCAACCTCAACAACTTTAAGACTTGTGGATTTCAGCTCCCAGAATTCCTCAGCCAACTATGTCAAGGTTGCAGACTCCTGGGATATACTAACTAGGGTTGATGGAAGATGGGCTGTAAAGCCCTGGAAGATAATGGAAGTTGAGTTTCCAGTTATGTAAACAAGTGCTTCATAGTAAAACAGCATGTGCAACTTTAATTAGTGGAAAAAGCAAACTGATATAATAATAATAATAATAATAATAATAATAATAGTATAATAGTAGTAGTAGTAGTAGTAGTAATAGTAGTAGTAGTAAAGTTGGAAGGGACCTTGGAGGTCATCTAGTCCAACCCCCTGCTCAGGCAGGAAACCCTATACCAGGAGTTCTCAACCTTGGCAACTTTAAGACTTGTGGACTTCAATTCCCAGAATTCCTCAGTCAGCTGCTGGGAGCTGAAGTCCACAAGTCTTAAAGTTGCCAAGGTTGAGAACCCCTGCAATACCATTTCGGACAAATGGCTGTTTAAAAAGGCTTAAATGGAAGGAGCCTCCCACCCCTTTCTCAACAGGTAGTCTCAATTTATAGCTGTAATGAATCCTGCACATTAAAGCCATAAGTCAAAACCCCTAAAATGACCCAATTTACAACATTGTTTTGCAACCATTAAGCAAATACAAGGGTTGTTAAGTGAATCCGTTGTCCGCCATGTTTGTTTATATCCCGCCTTTATTATTTTTACAAATAATTCAAGGCAACAAACATATCCAACACACCTTCCTCCTCTTGTTTTCCCCACAACAACCCTGTGAGGTGTGTTGGACTGAGAGAGAGTGATTGGCCAACCACTATACCAAACTGACTCTTCATGGTGCACTAGCATACTCTGGAGAGGTTTTGCTGAAAATTGGAAGTAAGTGCTGGTTTTTATCATGTTGTAAGACAGGGTCACGTGACTGAGACACTGCAAGCAGCCAAAATGCTGCTGTGTTGCCAAGCATCTGAAGTGCAGTCACATGACTATGAGAAGGCGGGGGCAGTGACTGTTGGCAATTCGGGTCTGGGTCAAAAGTCCTCTTTTGATCATAATTTCAAACAGTCACTAAGCAACTAGTCATAAGTCGAGGACTACCTGTTATATCGTATAGGTACAAGCTTCAAGTTTTTAAAAAGAATGACTAAGAGGAAAAGACAGATAGGAGAGATGATGACACAGACACAGTGTAGAACAACACAATTGAGTGAATTCCCAATAGTTGGATCTAATGTTAAGTGCAACCAAAAGACAAGGCACAAAACAGGAGTCCAAAGAATTATCTAGTTCCTGGGAAGGAAGTTCCTCTCTAAATAGGGCAGAGTATAGGCTGTCATCTTTACCTTTATAGCATTTTTTCATGTCAGGGCCTAACCACATGTTGTCTGGACAAACACATGTATATTTGGGTGAGTGTGGAAAGTTTTGTGGTGCAGGCAAACACAGGTGTTCACACCCTCCATTTGGCAGAGAATGAAGTTCACAAACATCTGGAGCTACATATAGGAAAAAGAAATAAGAATTAAATCTGAGGATTATATATAGTCAAAACTGGGTGGAACTCACCATTTTCTTGAGTGGCTTAATGACAAAGATTTGCTACTTATCTCCCTTTAGCTAACCAGGGTCCATATTTTTTCCACTACTTTGCAATCTAGTTACCTACCATGAAATCTAAGGCATCCACTACAGCTGCACAGGTATTAGGACCTATGAAAAGATGTTTTGGGTCTGGTATGGGGTGCTTGCTGTTCTTGTCAACAGTGCCTTAAAGAAAGTGCACTTTATCCTGGTGCCCTATAGTAGCTGTGCAATCTCAGGAAAATATTTTGAATTCAGGAGACATATCCGAACACTGCCCAACTCTAGTGTTGTCCAATAAGACCATTCCCCTTTTCTACTGGAGCAACAATTTCCCCACCAGAGAGCCATTAATGCAATGTAGTGAATATAAGCCAGCCTTCCTCCAATTAGAATCTACTGTTGAATACAAATCCCATCACTCACCAACCATAGTGTCCAATAGCCATACTGGCCAGGAAATGACAGGATCTATAACCCATCATATCTAGAGGGACCCATAATAAAGAGAAAGCTGAGAAAATTTTCCATATTAAGAAAAGCTGGGCTCAAGTCCTGGCATGCTAAATGTATCATTCAGACTTTGATGCGTTACTAAACTTACCTTTAGGTTGCTTTAGCTCATGAAAAACTACAATGTCATGAGGATTATTGAGGTTCTCTGCCAAAACAGAAATGTCTAGACCGTTCAGCCTATTAGCACTGAAGATTGCCTCATTCTCTAAGTCTGTCCAGAATACCCTGTCCTGCAACAATGAAGAGAATGAGAGAAAGACTCAGACTGTATTAAATACCAGCTGGAACTTTTCAAGCATTGCTTCCCTACGAATCAATCTCCTTGGCATTTTGTTTTTCATAAAGAAGTCGTGCACAATTCTTTCCAGGGTCATAGAGAACAGACAAGTGGGCAGTTCACCACTGTCAGCCGCTTCACGGAGGGATTGATCTGCACAGCCTCCCTAATGTGTTTTGTTTTCAAAGCTTGCGTGCGAGTTATGTGATCCTCTCCATGGAGATCCTGATCTATGCGACAGTAATTTAAGTTGGCATTTGGCTTTGAAAGTCATTAGGAGAAAAAAATGGCTCCACAAAACAAAAAAGGAAACAAATATAATTAGATGTTACGACATAAGTGCTCTTCAGAATCATGTTTGTGTGATTTTTCACGTTTTGCTAGTGGAGGAGAGTATACAGGGAGAAAAGCAATGGTGCAAAGTAGAGGAAATTTCTCTATTTCTTTCCCTTACCTCTACATAACAGGCTATCTTGCTGATCTAAGAAAATGCATTCATGTAAGGCAACTTCTGTGTGTGTGCCACCTGTTGAACTGAGCAGAAATTGTAATGCATTCAGATACTTCCTCTTTGATGTATAAAGTGCCTTCCACTGAAAGCAACAAAGCCAGGAAGGTGAGGATCAGCAACTGAATAGACATCCAATTCAGGCCCATAATTCAAAGCATGATTCAGACATATATTTTCTGAGCTTAGCAAGCACGTAAAGAAAGCAGCAAGACTTTGTCCTGCAACATAATACTTCAGTGAGTACACCAGTTGCTATCAGGATTTTAATTTACAAAATTAAATTTTTTATCAGATCTTAAGCTGAAAAATGCAGTGGAGCATTTCCATTTCTGTCAAAGTAAGAAAATATTTCAGATGTAATTTCTAACTAGGCCAAATATTAGCCAGTACAATAGGAATGCTCTACTATTCAGAAAAAAAAGGAAAATGATCTCTAGAGCAAAGGAAAATTTTAATCCTAACTAAATGCATTTTGAACCAAATTCTGAAAAAACAGTCTTGTATGACCAATGTCATCTTCATAATTTTCTCCTTTAGTTTGGATATGGATTCATTCCTTATTACATTCCGTTCTTTCCACACATTGTAAGCACAACCAACTAGGTCATATAATGGATATACCTCCTGAGTAAAAAAAAAATCTAGCTAAATTTGAAATACATCTACCTATAACAAGGCTCGTTGTCTGCCTAGATCAGTCCTGACTCCTGTTTTTTGTTTTTTGTTTACCTCAAACACAGCCAGTCCAAATGGGTGACTCAGGTTATCCTCAGACGAGATGAGAACTTTTCGGTTGCTCCCGTTGAAATCTATACTTGAAAGCAAGTGCAGCTTGGAATCAACCCAGTAGAGACGTTGATTCAGTAAATCTGAAGAGCAAACATATCAAGGTAGGATTATATCTCTGTATTTGACCTTTGTCCACTTGGATGCATTTTTGCTATTATTTTACTACTTTAGAATCTTGGAAAACTCATTTTATGAAAACAATCCAGGGAGAAGAAGAAAGGACTGTTAATTAAGAATGATAGATAATATTTTTTTAATATGATCACAATGTATAGGGATAGGTCCAGACTGTGTAATATAAGTGGTCACTGGAGATATCATAAAGTGAGACTTTTTCTTTCAGGAAGAATATTTCCCAAGCTTATTTTCACGTAGATTCAGGGTCACTGCAGAGATGCTAAATAAATGCACGAAGAAGATATCTGAGAAGCCATATTAATAGCCCAACCACTTGAATTCTCCATGAACATTAATATTAGCAGTTGGTGTTCTGTTTTAAATAATTACATTAACTTGTAGAAGTAGGGGAATCAGTTCTTTGCATAATTAATTTGACAAGATAATGTATGGGATTAATATCATACTACCTTATTTCCAGACCGGGTTCCAAAACACGATGTAACAATCAACACATTTCAGATGAGTGAATAATCTTTTTTTTAAATTGAAAGTGGAGGGGTCAAGCAGGATCTTGCTGCTGTTATTATTAACATTTGCATGCAGCCTGATGCTGAGCAATGCTGTGATGATAATGAAAATAAAAGCTTTGTGGTGTGTGAAACCTCAGTGTGTTGTCATGATGCATACATTAAAGGGGAAGACTTGCATCGAAATGCTGATTTTGGCAATCTGAACCCTATCTTCCTCCTTAATTGGTAGGGAATGTCAAATTATTCATGGAAAGAAAGATAGGAGAGTATATTTTTCCCTTCACCCTTTCCCAAAAGCTATCTTCCTTTTTCAAAGCAGAGAAACCTGCAAAGAGTAAGAAGGCAAATAGCAGGGAAATAATTTTCATTGAAAAATGGAGAGATTGTGTCTTTTTCTCGCTCATTCTTTTCTGATCCCAATAACAGAATTATTTATTTTTCAGTTAAAAGAAGAAACTTATAATTTAAAAAAAACCAAGATTATAGGAAGGAACAAGGAACAGTATATCTTTTGTAGGCAAATGGACCCACCTTCAAATTCAGGCAATCATGTGTGTAGGGCTATGGTGAATTGCTACCGAACAGTGTAAACAAAATGAAGCTGGATTAATCAATGCTCAGACTCAGTATGAAGAGACCACCCTTTATTTATAGCATAAAATATTTGGAAAATTTAGAAGGACCTGATTCCAGTTTTCCAACATACCCAGTGTGATTCCATTGGGCCATTCAATGTTGTCTGTCACAAGCACTTGCCGATCCATACCGTTCAAGCCAGATTTCTCAATTTTTGCTATGTCTCCCCAGTCAGACCAATACATGTATCTATAAAAAAGAATAGATAAAGAAGCTGGTAGAAGATTCTATGCTACTTGAAAAGTAGTTTTCCTTCAGATTTCCAAGTACAATGATGTTTGAAGTAATTATTATGGATTATTGCTTTATTGAACAAGAATGTACCAAGGTGATCAAATTCTGTAAAGGGTAACACTATATTTAACTTTTACAAAGAAAGACCATCCATCAGGTGGTTCTTATGAATTCCAATATGTTGGTTATTGCGGAAGCAGATAATCCAGTGACTCCCAACATCACAATCTTATCATTTCATGTGCTTCAGGTGACAATCCGAGTTAGAATACATTCACTCAAGAACAAGAATCCATATTATATAGCATTTTTATTAATTTTTTGCAGCGCCATCACAATCGGACTGGAATAGCCCAATTTGAATTCTGAAATTAGAAAGGACAGAAAAGCACATCTGATGCAACAGGAACATATAATAAGCAGTAGGAATGGATAATATGCATTTCGTTGATATTCTCCCTTTAAAATCACAGTCTACAAAAACTTTGATTGCTAATGTACCATCCATAAAATAAACTCTAATTATATTGATTGGTGCAGTGTGAGAACTATAAGAATCAAGGCTGAAAGGATACTAAATTCAGTAATACATAGCAATCTTTCATACCTACCCCCGTATGGGATCCACTGCAATAGCTCTAGGTTCACTTAAGTTAGTACTGAAAAGTGTCCTCTTCTTACGCCCATCAGCTGTGGCTACAGAAATGGTCTTGTTTCCAGAATCCGTCCAATAAATATTCTTGTGGACCCAATCCATTGCCAGACCTTCCGGGGAGTGTAACTGGCTGTCTATCAGAACCATCTGCTCAGCTGTGTCACTGGCCTTATCTATGTAGGCACTATAGAGAGGAGACTCAAATTATGTAACTCATGTAACTCTGCAAAGGGCAAAGGGGGAGGGATAATGATATAAGAAAGGATGCACTCACAAGGAAGAAAAGCAAACAAAAAGAGGAGCAAACAAGGCATAAAATCCTACATTAATTTTCTGACGAAAGAGCTCTGCATACTTATATATCATGTGCTAAATGTTGCAATAAGCAAAACCAGATTTGTCAGTGCAATTCAATAGTAGCTTTTTTACAAAGAACAATTAATGAAACAAGAGAATGCTGTAACGCTACTGTTTCCTTTACAACTCTTGATGTCTATTACTAACACATTACAGAAACTCTGTTCTGTGTGCAAGCTTTCAATCAGGTTCAAAGTAATCCAGAAAGCCTACAGGAACATTTTGTTTAGATGTTTGCAAGAATAGAATAACAAATGCAAGTATTCTCTATAGATGGGCTAAACAGACTCTGCTTTCCCCCTCACACAATTGTTACTCACACAAGGAAGAATGTATAAATAAGGCTTAAGTCATGCAAATACATAGGTGTAGGATGAAGATTACATGCATTGGCAATAGTACTTGTGAAAAAAATTATAGCTGATTGCTAAGTGAAAATGAGTTGGCAGAAAATGAAATGGCCACAAAGCAGACAAATGAAATTATAGGTGACAGAATAAAATTATAGTTTCCAAGTCATGAGAAATAAAATTCCATTCAGTTTTGCTTTGGTCAGTCTCCCATCTCAAGTATGGTGTCCAGTTCTGGGCATTACACTTTAGGAAGGGTTCAGAAGACATGAACAAGGTTCAAAGAAGGACGCAAGGATGATTAGGGAGTTACAGACTAAGAGGATCAAATTTAGCCTTGACAAGAGGAAGAGAGAGAGGGATTGCAATAGGATTTTTCCTATACCCATGATGCAGAAGAAAGCCAAGACTCTGTTGTTTCAGATTGCAAGATGCAAAATAATAAATTATAAAAAAGCAAATTCCAGTTGAATACGAAAAACAGCTTAATGACAAGAGCAGTTGGACAATGCAATTAATTATTCTGAAAGATGATGGACTCCTTGATTTAAGCATGGCCCAAACAGTCATCTATCAGGCAGGGATGTTTTAATTTAGGTTCATTGCCTGCACACTCCCTTCCAATAATATAATTCCATGGAAAAAAAACTCATTCTACACATTTATTTTATTTATGTATTTTTGAATTATCGGTACTGATAGACTGTCAAAAGCACAGAATTATAACAACAAATGCTACCTACACTGAGTGTAAATATCAAACACAGTATTTGTACATTTGATGACCCTATTTTGGTCTGGCCAACTAGTTCAGTAAAGTGCCTTTTTTGTATGGTCAACATTATCTCTGCTGTGTGAGAAAAAATAAGTCCAGTATTTGCCAGGAAAACAGTAGGTCACATAATGTTCAGATCGATCCTAAGTCATCCGGAATTATCCTCCTATTGGATTGTAAATGTCCTCTTTATTTTCCTGATCTTGGACCGGCTGCTTTCCAGATCAGCAGAAAGCAATTTTGTAGATCAACAGCTAAATAGTATGATTTGAAAATGTTTCCTCAGAACTAGATATAACAGAATTCAACTGAACTGATTCCCTGTATACCAAGGATACATTCTAAGTTAATTTATTTTATGGGATATCTGGAAAAAAATGTAAACTTTCTCCCTGTGACATTCACTACAGAATAATCCTTCAATGGGAAGAAAGTGGAGTAAGTGCAAGGCCAAGGTTCAAATCACTTGGTAGATCTGACAGCTAACAAACTGAGAAAGAGTGAAGTGTTTCCAAAAAGAAATCAGTGGATGTGGAGGCACTGCTGGGATTTTCCTGCTCTTCTCCTCAGAGTCCTTGGGAACACTGAGGAATGAAAAAGCAAGAGGAAAGATATTGTGCGCAAAAGAAGGAGCTCCTACAGTTTTGCTAAATATCTTGATCCTTATTACAAGTGTGTGGGGGATGGAATAAGGGGCAATGATAAAATGTGCATCCTAATGGAAACTCTGCCCCATTTTTCCTTGTGTCATAATGTCACACAACACAAGTTTCATCAACTTGACAAATTTGAGCTTTTGCTTCTTTGGCTGTGACTGGCTTCCATTTATTCGGCGTCTGATTCTCTTCTGGCTCGTAAGAGGTTTAACATGGCTTCTCAGCTATAAACAATCTCTGGTACTTTTCACTTGTCCCAATCCTTTCAGTATTTCTGAGAATGCAGTAGGTGGCGCCCTTCTCTTCCTAACTAAGACAGTGATATTTTTGCATGTGAATTAGCCTGTGTAAGAGTGTCTGGTGTGGATGCAAATTAGTGTAAGAGCCCCCTGTGTGGACACAGCTATCGCCTAGTGTGGATATAGCTAATGTGCTTTAATTTGCTGTTAACTGAAACAACTGAATGAAGGTTTTTCTGATATGATCATTCAGTGTAAAGCCCCCTCTTCCCCATTATGTCCTGAGTGGGAAATTCTAAATATAATACTTGCAAATCAAGGTCATACCGATTTGCAGGAAGAAGTTCCAGTAAGATGCAATTTCCTAGCTCTGAAATTTCTTTTAGAAAGCCAGTGAGAACTGCATTCAGACCAAAGATGGACAAAGCTCCTCATTGTAAGGACTTTCTTCCAGCCGGTGAGCATTTGTTTTTCCTGCCTACAGTAATTCTCCTCTCTCCTTTTCTTGACCGTGGACTAAATCAGGGACAGACCGTTTTCCTTCCGATTCAGTTTTCACACAAGTATGCAAATTGGCCCTGATCATTCTTATTTTTAAAAATAAGTGCCTACTGTATCAGAGCTCAAAGTCTGTAGACAAACCTGTCACAGTTAGCAGTGATGAAGAAAATAACATAAGTTTAAATCTTAAGCTTGACAGATTTTTGCTATCAGCAAGCTGTAGGAGAAGTGCCACATTAAATAATGCTCAGATATGAATGGGCAGATCCTGTTTTTCTCCATTTTGCAAGGCTCAAAGAAGCTCCCCAAAATATTTTCTCTCATTTTTTGCTCACTCTCCTTTTTAAGAGTTGATGTATTCCTAACTAGTTGCTTGATTGTAATCAACAGGTGATGACCTTAAAAAACAAAGTAAAACCTTCATATCCTCTGTAACAGGATTTCCCAATGTTGGCAATTTTAAGTCAGGTGGACTTCAACTCCCAGAATTTCCTAGCCAGCATAGGGAATGTCCAGCTGAGGAATTCTGGGAGTTGAAGTCCACATGTCTTAAAGTTGCCAATGTTGGGAAAATCCTATTCTATAATAAGTTCCTGATTTTTGGAATCACCTTTCCTACTATTTGGCCCCCAGGACACTCATCTTTGACAGTTACCAAAAACCAGAACAAACCATTACTGATAACACAGCGGTGCAGGGGGGGGGGGATAGCAATTTAAATCTGAGTGCAGAAAAGGGACAACCAGCTTTGTTGCATAATCAGATAAAGTACTCTTCTGGTACATGCATAGGACCCTAAAATCCAAAGATGCACATTTTCAACAGACAAAGTTCTGATGCTACTAAGCCAGGGATGGGCAACTAAGTCTCCTTTATGAACAGTAGACTTCAATTCCCAGAATTCCTGACCCAGCCAGGATTTCTGGAAGTTGAAGTCCTCAGGTCATAAAGAGGCCACAGTTGCCCACCCCCGCACTACTAAGCTGTCATAGATCTGAGCTTGATTTTTTTTTTTTTTTTTTTTGCTAGAATGATGGAAGGTAAATCGGGTAGTCTGAAATACCCCGCACCTGTATATCTTCCTGTAGAATAAATCACACCAGTATATCCTGTTGGTTGCCACTTCCACATCCAAAGCAACCACATTCTTCAGCATGGGAATGATGCGAGAGTAGTCCTTTTTCACCAGGTCAATCTTGCGTACTTCGTGGCGGTTTGTGAAAACAAGGTATGGGCTCTTTCCTGCCAAGGAATTGGCAAATCATAGCTTTATAAGCAGTTTAGGATAAAGCACAGCTTTAAAAATGCCAGGTTTGGAAAATCTCAAAACTACTTTTAGAATAAAAAGGATTGGCAATGACTGCTGTCCTGATCATCATTTCCTGGGCACGCTGCTCTAACTGATAGTGATTTACACAGTTTTTTTTTCCTTGTTGGGAGAACAAAAGAGTCACTCCCACAACTATGCACTGGAGAGGAAAAAAGTTGAAGATATTCAGCCCATATGTATATTTTTAAATAAACCAGTGTTTGTGTGTGTGTGTGTGTGTTTGTGTGTGTACGCGCACACAAACACACACACACACACACACATGAAAATGGAAATTTTTTCCTATACATTTTTTTATGGCTTGATCACTTTGATTCAAATTAGAAGCCTTCTCCTTTGGTGCTTCTCCAAAGAGAGAGAATCTGAAATCCAGCTTTCACAATTAGGATGAAATGCCCAAGGAGCTATGCTCCTTAAAATACTGATTTTTTTAAAAAAGTAAGTTCTTATAAGGATTTTATTGTTTAATAAGATAAATTCCATTTACAGAGGTATTTGCCCTTATGTTGGTTTAATCCCTGTTCAATATTAGACAGATAAAGAGAAAAATACCCATAACCAAAATTAAAAGATAAAAGAAGCCAAGTCTGCCACTCCCAGCCCCACTTGTTTTTTCCCCTTCTTTCTCCATTCTGGCATTTTGTGAAGAGCAGTAACATAAAAAAGCAGAGTCAAAGGCATAATGTATGTTGCCTGCAGTACAGACATGTACCAGAGTTTTGTTTTGCCTTGGTGATTTAAATGAAGAATAGGAATATGTGTGCTGTGGAGGGAGTGAAACCTCATGAGTTGTTTGTTCTGGGTCTTGGAAAAAAAACTATGATATTCTAGTTTGGGCACAGAAGTCACTATGTTATTATTAATCCAGTCCTTTCTGGATCACTATTTCAGAAAATTCTAGTTTTTGTCTACCTTTATAGTTTTGTGACTTTTTTCTTTTTTTATATTTAATTTTTAAAAAAATGAAAAAAAGATAATAGGAAAAGGCAATTTGAAAAATGATATCAGAAAATGATGCTAGACGATCTTTGTTCCACCCCAGGGAAAAGAAACAGTGGTGCCAAGTTCCATCTCATCCCCTGTGCTTTAAACATTTATATGAAAGCAGGGGAAATTATCCAGAAAGTTGGATTCAAATCTTAAAATGCAGATGATATTTCAGCCCAGGAAGCTGTGGAATTATGGAGATGGGTGGGGATGAACCAGCCAAGGCTTAAACTAGATAAAACACAGTTACTATAGGCAGGGAAGATGGATTTTATAAATTGTTGATGGAACTGTGTGATTTTCCACAGATCCACACCGAATGGAATCAAACATCTTCTTACCTATGGCTTTGCAGTTTTTAGACAGGGTGTCCATCTCATAACCATCATAACATTCACATTTATAGTCCCCCTTGTAGTTAATGCAGATCTGGCTACACGCATCTGGATTCTCACATTCATCTATATCTAGAACGAGAGTTTAAAGTAATTGGTTAATGTGACATTAAGCCATCAGATCATGGGCATCTGCAAGTATGTCTGTCTGCAATGACACGCTGATGGCTTCTGTTTCTATGCAAATTACCTCCACACGTTTTCTTGTCCATAAGCTTGTATCCAGGAGGACATTCACATTCATAGCCAATCTTCAAGTCCTTGCAAATGTGGGAGCAACCACCATTGTTCAGGGCACATTCATTCACATCTAGAAGAGTGACATTATTTAGATTAAAACTGAATTCTGTGCGCAAGACTGACATTTTAAAGTGTCGAATGGTTTCAGATATTAAAAGGTTTATTTAAATAGACATGAAAACCTTTTTTTCTTCTAAGTAGCAGTGATCTGAACTTTCTTAAGACAACTTACTCATGCAATTTTGGTCTAATTTGTATCTGAAATCTAAGTGCTCATTTGTATTGTTTGCTTTCACTTTATAGGCACAACAGTGGGATAAAGATGTTAAGTAATAAATGAGCTAAATAAAAATCATCCAATAGTTAGCCTAATGCCAAGCTCATGTTTAAGATCCTAAACGGGCAAATAGAATAATTTGGCAAGAATGTCTTTCTAATGAATCAGTACTATATATACGAAAGGTTGGACTATAAAATAAGCAAGCAATAAAAATCCAGAAATGTCAACTGCTTCTGACTCAACTTTTTCCAACTGGATGTCTTCCAGATACATTAAGTTTCATTTTACTAGAATTTAGAGCCAGCATTGCCAACAGGAGACAACTGTAAGAAGTGCATTCCTTCACATCTAGAAGTCATCACACTGGCAAATGCTATTCTTGTGAGGGGTTAGATATATGTTTAAAGAATCTGTTTTTATAGATGCTAATCTCTAAGAGATACAAAAAGTAGAACTGCAAATATGTGCTTAGATTAAAAACAAAACAAAGCCAAAGCTTCAAAGTATAATACATTGCCAGTCCATGTAATGCTGGGAGGAAGCTTGTATTCTTCCAAGAATCCAGTGGAACTGTAAATGTATCATTATAAAAAGAAAAGAAAAAAAATCAAAAGGGTGGCTTTATCCTGGTCCTGGTATCCCTAGTTCTGACTATTTGAGACTTTTCCCCATCCTGCTATTGGTTGCTATGCTAAAGTTATACTGTAAATATAATATAATAATGCTTCTTGAAAAGAAAAAAAATCAACCCACTGAAATCCACATGTCCATTCCTATCTATTGTTGACCAATACTAAGACCAAATGCTCTCCCCAAACATTTGCAATCTATTTCATTTGAATAAAAGAACACTCTGCCTGTAATAATCGTGCGCACACCTGGAAATTTGTATGAGCAGAGTTCTGATCATTAGTTCCCCAACGTCAGACACTAAAATTGAAAATGTAGTCCAATTTACCCCGGCAACTGTAAATTACCAAAGGGGTCGAAGGAAGTCATTTTAATTCTTGAAACAACCATTCACTTGCCTTTCCAATTAACCTATCCAAAGCGAGGGACAAAATGTTTTTCTTTTATTGTGGGATTTGCTATGCAATCAAATATCTAAATATCCTGGATTATGAAGATTTGCTGGACTAGCCCAGATATGTAGGAGAAAAACAGATGGTGCAGTTCCTTCGATTCTTTCATTTAATGGCAAAAGATGATGGGGAAAAAAAAATAACTGGTAGAATATGCTGCACTTGAAAAACTTCCACAACATTTTGCAGCAAAACCCCGAATTCTAAGCAGAAAGCCCAATTCACAACGCTATTAGCAGCAGTAAGTTTATTGCTGAGTTAAAAACATGGTGGTGTATTTGGGCTACTGCTTATAATTCAGACCGATCCTGTCAATAACTCTTGCTTACACCATGCATCACAAGCCAATTATGCCAAATGAGACTATAATTCTCAAGACCATCTTCCATTTTAATTGGTATGCATATCTGTTTTACATTTCCATGCTACTTCATGTCAGTGGGTTCTAAGCTGCATACAGTAATAAATTGTAGTTAGAATACTGTAATCACATGGAAGATAAACTCAACAGTAAAGAAGAATAACTATTTCAGACCAATTTCCTGGCATCGGAAAGCCATGTCATTCTTCTCTGTAGTCTAGAATGCCAAATTTCCTGTTTTACTACAACCCAAAGGGCGAATGGGCCATGCAGTGAAAGTGTACTCTGCCTGTGAAAAGGCTGGTAGTGAGAGGCGTATAGCTTCAGCAAATAGTCTAGGTTCAGCAAATCACTCTCTATATTAAAGAAATGTATATTTACTGCCCCAATAGATGCAATAGCTACCATAAAACAGTCTGTGATTAGCATGTCTCCAGGCAGCTGTCTTGCGGTAAATGGTTTCATTAAGTTATGTTATGTATGTTTTTATCAAATTTCACTCCAACACTGGAAAAAGTTAGTTTCCCTTAACATTTAAGACTACATTTCTGTGGGTTTTTTTTTTCCCCAGTAGCAAAATGGATATAGTTGGCCATTGCCTCTTGCCAGCATGCTGTTTAGCTTCCCTGTTTATCTTGCAGAACTGTACTAGGATGTCCTGAGATCTCCCATCCAAGTATTAACCAGGTCTGTCTCTGCTTAGCTTCTAATTCCAGATGCTGCTCCCTGCTGATATTTCATTGAAAGAATTTCTGGTTTTCTACACAGGGATATGAAGGAAGCATTGGAATTCCATCCTTGTCTCAGGACCCCAATCACAAAGGTTCTTGAACAAGTATCATTTTGAGTCACACCATTTACTCCCTCTTTCTTCAGAAAATAGGGCCACAAGAACATTTATTTTAGCATTTAAATTTAAAGTAGAAATTCAGTATAGGTGGTGGGAGAAGGATTCCAGATAGGTTTGATACTATTACAGAAAAGACCTCACTTCTAAAAGATGCCATATTTGCGCCAGATGAAGAGACACGCACAGCGGAGTTATGTTAGGGATCCTAACACCCAAAGAGGCTCACGGGAAACAAAATAGTTTTTAAGCATCCAAGTTCTAAACCACAAAGCTTTATTTTGCCTTTTAGTTGGCTTTATAGGTGCTGGGACAAAGCAATTGGATTTCATTTAAACAGAATAACTAAATTAATTAATCAATATGATCAGTTCTACATCATATGCTTCATAGCTTTCCTCTCTTTTAGATTAAAAATGAAAACAATTTTTGGAGAGGCTATGTCTATCTCTGGGGTCACTGAGACTGGGCATCTCTGGTCTAAGATCATTTAAGACTTAAGTTAAAATATTCCATAGTGAATTTCACTCACAAACAAAATGGAATCCAGGCAAGACTTTAATACTAAGACCATAGTCTCCTAGGTCAAAAATAGTTCAGTTTTTGAAATGCTCTCAAAGGCAGCCCAACCACAGAGTTTAATGCAGTAGTTTAATCTAGAGGTTCCTTCAACAATATGATACAAAATCAAGATCACTCTTCTTCAAAGTACACTAAACTTGATAAAAAGAATTTTAGACCTCAGCCACTGGTTTTCCAGATTCAAGCTTGTCTAGGTTTAGTTTCAGTTACTTCAAATTTGTTCAGTCCATGCTGATCTATTTGAAAGAATATATGCTTTCAAAAGATGTGGAGATCTTCAACCACAATTGGCAAAGAACTGGGATTATGGGAATTGTGGTCCTACAACTTTTGTAAGCACATAAGTTATGCACATCTGTACTAGGGTAAACCTCATAATTAGCCTAAAAATGCAGTCATGCAACATGTGCATGCAATGTGGGCATGCAATAAAAAGACATAAAATATAACCAAGATACTGTATAATTTGATACGTCTCTTCATTACTGATGCTATGGAAATTATAAGAACTTCTAAAATGCCACAAAATAACAGGCAATAAAACTCCAGCAGTATAAAAAACCCGTGTTAAAATTCAAATGAATTAAATATATCCTCTTCAACTGAGCACAGAAGCAAAAGAAAGACTTAGATCCTTTTAATGATCAAGAATGCATCACCACCGTATAAACCAAGGAATAATTTGTTATAGTTCTTCATTACTGAGGCTATATAAATTATAAGGAGCTCTAAAATGCCACAAAATAACAGGCAATAAAACTTCAGCAGTATAAACAGCTCCTGTGTTAAAATTCAAATGAATTAAATATATCCTCTTCAACTGAGAACAGAACCAAAAGAACAAACTTAGATTTTTTTAATGATCAAGAACATATTAATCAGGGCCAACAGTTTCATTATATTCACATCGGCTAAAATAAATGTCTTTCATCTTACAGGAATAGGATCTTATGCTTCTTATACAATAAAAGAACGCATTGTGCTAATTAATGACCAGGCATCAATACAAAAGCATGTCAGAAGGAAAAAATATTGATAGGCATTATTTAGTTCAAGCTTCTTTAATTATGTAATTAGGAATCTGGTATTTTAGAATAAGCCTCCAAGTCATGTATACTCAAAAGACATGCTTTAATGACTTTTCTCTGTATATTATTACTTGTAATATTTTTATTGACCCAGGAGCAGATTGCCTATAGACAGAGACTTTGTATGGATAAATATAAGGAAATATGGGACTCATTTGTAGAAAATTCAGTAGGTTAAAAAAAGGATGATAGCTATATAAGTGTATTAGAAATACACAAACACACACACAAAATGTAATGTTCCTTTTGTTTTTTTGCTATTTTAAAAGCAATAACATGATTAATGATTTTTTAAATGTTTTTCTAAGGAACTGCCTACATAGTTTTCTTTCATGGAAGAGTATCAGCTGAAGCTTTTCCATGAATGTTACTTTCCTCCTTAGGAACATACTGAATCCTGGAATTTCTGCCCCATTTAAGCACTTACGAAGAATGCCATCCATTTCCTTTGACACAAAAGGCAGGTGGGTTTCCTGTTCCTGATGTCAGTGTACATACAATTAAGGCCACATGACTGCCTATTAATATAGATCAGTGTTTCCCAAACTTGACAATTTTAAGGCATGTGGACTTCAACTCCCAGAATTCCACAGCCAGCAATGCTGGCTGTGGAATTCTGGGAGTTGAAGTCCACATGCCTTAAAATTGTCAAGTTTGGGAAACACTGATATAGATGCCTGCCTTGGATGGCCCTTAGAGACTCTATGTAAATAATGCCTCTAAACATGGGTAATTTCTGTGAGGAAGAGCAAAGGAGTTTTCTCCACTCCTGAAATGGGCCATTTTTCATCATGCTTTTTTAAAGGACAAATGATAAAAGAAATTGTCTATCTTGATTAAGCACCTAAACTTTCTTTGCAATTCACAAGAACTACCAAAAAGAATAATTAGCATCATCAGGAGACCTGAATACTGAGAATTTTCTGTTCTGTGATGGGATGAAATCTTTTTTTTTTTTGCAATCAGCCCAGGATTCATTACATTTAAGACTGTGCCGAACATCACCTGGAATATGCAAAACCTAAAATCCCAAGAATCAAATCTTATTTCCATTTTCTTCATCCACTAGTCACAAAAACAAGATAAGCAGAAGAACTAAAGGAGAATGATAATAGCGGTTGATGCTCCTGTTCTGGTAGTGCTTAAACATATAAGCATGGAAGAGATTGTTAAAAATGGAGGAAGAAATAAGAAGGTACTGTACCACAAACTTTTAGAGGCTCATCGGACCAGTCCCTGCAGTCCCTGTGTGAGTCGCACACCTTGACTTCCTCTATGCACTCTCCACTTTTACATTGAAATTTGGTGGGACTCTCGCATGCCGCTTCTGTTATGTCAGGCAAGGAAGGAAAAGCAGCTGAAGTTAGATTAGGTACATGGAAATGAAGATGCATTATGATTCAAGAATGTAATTAGAAAAAAATGAGATATGGTTTTAGCAGCAGGATATTTAGATGCGATGGATTAGAACAAAGCCTGCTCAACCTAAGACAAAAAGTGTCAGTGATGAGGCCTCACTGCTGGAATATACTAAACAGTAGCATATACTAAGATGAAGAGTGGTTTTGCTTCTTGGGAATGGAGGACTCCCTGGCATCTAAGCACTTTCTAAGAGTGTTTTCTGCTACACCCCAAGCCAGCAGACTTATCACATCTAGCATATCTACCATTAACGCAGCCAGCTTCATCACTGTTGTCAGGGCAGTCATGCACTTTGTTGCACTGTTTAGCTCCATGGATACAGGTCCCATCACCACACTGGAATTCATCAGGGCTGCAGGTCACCAACGCTTAAAAACAAAAAGGAAAAAAAAAGCACCATCACCTGTTGCGTTCTTTTCACAAGGTTCCTAATTGTCAGTAATTCTAAAGTTCTGGGGTATCCAACAATCCTTCACTGGATTTGTTATATGCTGCCCACAGTAACTTTCCATGCAATGGGCGCTCCTAGGAATTTGACAGATAAATAAATAAATTGGAGTTTGGAATCATTTCCCAATTCAACATGGCATAAAAGAGGTGGAAGAATATTGTCTGTTTTCATTTTCAAGTGGTTTGTTCTTAAAGATAAGTCAGCTATCATGGTTAATGTGGATTTAAACCTAAGGTTTAACATTCATGGTTCATTGTGAATATTGGGAATATTTTCTTAACAACTACGAGTTTTCTGCAGTTCTCATAGCTCTTCTTTTTTACCCCAAACCACTCTTTTTCTGAACAAGAATGATATTGTAATTTCATTGCAGATGTTTAATTCTTTTATAACTTTATAGAGATTAGGGAAAAGGCTATTTGCTAAAGCATTATGTTGAAACTTGAATAGTTTGAAATATTATAGTATAATAAAATAATAACAAATTATTAAATTATTTCAGACAAGAATAAAAATTAAAAGAATGCATCCATTTATGAGGGAACACACCTGGAAGAACATAATGGGAGGCTTTCAAAAATAATAACTGACTCTTAGCAATTAAGAAGCAATTAAGGCAGATAGAGAAGAGGGAGGTAAAAATTACATCTTGATGTTTAAACATTCTGATGCTTTAAGTTCCATTCAACCTTGCCTGATCTTAAAAAGCTAAGCAGGCTTGGACTTGGCTAGTATATAGTTGGGACTTCATCAGAAAAATCTCAGGAAGCCATCCTAAACTGGAAAGCCAAATGTCGTCTCAAAGAGTGATGCCATTTCTATATTATTGCTAAGAAAATTACATGGCTGCTTTCTTTAAACCAGCAGCTTGACTCAAAAGTGATCTTTATTTAATCTCCATATCCAACTCCCGAACAATAAACGGCTATTGTTAGCCCACCTATATTGCTACTTGCTAACAATTTTTAAATCCGCCTAAAGCTTTTTTTAGAAAGCACAAAGCGCATCAAGGCTGAGTGTCACTGTTGACAACAGCTGCAGAACCACAGCAAAAATGCCTCTCTGGAATCATGTATTTTCCCCTTGGAGTACCCCATCTTTATTTTAAATGACAGAAAATCAATGTCAAAGAGTAGCTCAAGCACCATGACACAGACACTAATTCAGATGATCCAAGAAGATTGTGACAGAATCTCCTCAGCAATTTTACTGTCAAGAGGAACAGAAATTATGGCATCCTGGACACAACAAGAAAAGATTGTCATGTGTCCAGCAAGTATAGAAGATATGATAAACACACTGAGGTATAAATACAATTAATTAGACTGCAAATTACAGGCATTCAAAATCACTATAGTGAACTATGTACTGGCAAACAGAATATCTACACAATGCTAACATATAGAAGTCAGTTCACAGATCACTGCGTAAGTTAAAAAGCACATCTGTAAAGAGTAGCAAGGATTTTATTTTATGTAGCACGTCAACCCCTTCGAGAAAGAACTTTCTTAATGTCTCCTACCGGGAGCTTTTTTTAGGGTTAGTGAAGTGCAACAAGAAGCACTAAAATAGACATTGTTCTGAATGGTAAATTCAGGAATTGCTCTTTTCTCCTTGGGTTTCAGGTGGAATACCAACTGCCAAGTTATAGCTCACTTCAATTTAAATCATTTTAATTTCATTAAAGTTCATGGGATTGAGCTCATTTAATGAAAAATAAGCAATCTAAGTAATTAGAAAATAAAGTCTTGGAATTCATGGAATCAATCTTGGTTTCACTTATCCCTGAGAGTCTTCTAACATAATACAGTATTAGCAAACTATTTGGCTGGTTCATGGAAAGCCATTAACATCAGAGATAAAGCCTCTGCTTATTAACTGCGTACTGAAATGGAGTCAAACTAGACAGTATTTGATACCATGCTAGAATATTAAATGTGAATATAGAAGATAAAGTTGGAAACACAATGTACATATATGGATGGATGGAAAAGGAAGGTCTTTGTTATAATATCACAATAAGCAAAAGTCATTATCATGGTCTATAATCTACATAAAGGTAACAGTAATGATAAAGTCTCCTTTGAGTCAAGTTGGACTCCTGATGCCTTTATAGAACCTAACCATTAAACTGCTTACTACATCAGTACTACAGATAGAACTCGACTGTTTAGTGACCTTTCAAAATTACAATGGCCCGAAAAAAATGGCTTATGACCATTTTTGAGACTGCAACAGCATCCCTATGGTCATGTGATCAAAATTTGGCCACTTAGCAACTGGCTCATAATTATGATGCGTTGCAGTGTTCTGAGGTCATGTGGTCAACTTTTGTAACTGTCTGGCAATCAAAGTCATCGGGGAAACCAGATTCACTTATCAGTTGTGTTACTAAACAACTGCAGTGATTCATTTAAAAATGGTGGCAATAAATATTGTAAAATGGGGCAAAACTCACTTAACAACTGTCTTGCTTAGCAACGGAAACTTTGGGCTCAATTGTGGTTGTAAGTTAAAGACTATCTGCATACACACATAGAAACATTTGGAACATCCCATCCTAAGAATTGCATGGGTGCCTGCAGAACAAATGGAAACAGGAATATACCTGGAAAGGAAAAGTTTTAGAGATCAGCTATGTTCATCAAGCAAATTTGACTCATTGCAAGTTTTGTGCTGCCTTTGATAATTTTTACTTCCCTAACTCCATTAGTACTGATTATTCAGCAGCCCTTGTTTCTCAAAACATATACTGAAGCATGCTTTATATGAGAATTGTTTTCATATTTCAATAATATAAAGGTATTCCTAAAGATATTTTAAGTTTTATAATGGGTTGCTTATCCTGAGTCTTTCTGGAATCCCTTTGGATCCTTGAGCAAGAGATACCAGGGACTGAAATTAGAACTATTTATCTGCCAATTACCTACACACTAAAATCCTCTGAACAGGTTTAAATAAATATACACTATATAAATATAAAAATATAAATATGCACACAATCATAAATCAAGACATCAGCCACTAGATGTTTTTTCCCCAACACATATTCTATTTGTTTCTTTGTTCATCTGCTGCTCTCTGTTTTTGTTCATTTGCCAAAGCATTTTTATTTGTTTTCAGCACTAAAATGGAGCCCTCATTTTAGTTTCTTCTCTCAAAAACAACTTATGACAACAGTAGACAAATGTAGTCTTCAAACAGATTTTAAATTTAGGACACATTTTATTTATATATGAGATACTGCAGTGTGGAGCCGAGTACAAATAAATGGAATGTGATCATTTTAAGTTCTTTGCCAAAAAGAGTTGTTGTTGTTGTTGTTGTTGTTGTTGTTGTTGTTCTTCTTCTTCTTCTTCTTCTTCTTCTTCTTCTTCTTCTTCTTCTTCTTCTTCTTCTTCTTCTTCTTCTTCTTCTTCTTCTTCTTCTTCTTCTTCTTTCTTCTTCTTCTTCTTCTTCTTCTTCTTCTTCTTCTTCTTCTTCTTCTTCTTCTTCTTCTTCTTCTTCTTCTTCTTCTTCTTCTTCTTCTTCTTCTTCTTCTTCTTCTTCTTCTTCCATATCTGTTATCGGACATTGGTGATCATGTTGGCGATCCTGTTTTTATCAGCAGCCGCACGAAAAAGTACTGCTGAGTTTTGTCCAAACCAGTCCTTAGGAACTCAAAAAATTAGAATGCTTATCACAGATATACAAACAATTGTGATCTAATGTAGATAAAGCAGTTCAGACATGTTTGTTAGACTAAGAATGGACTGGTCCCTGGGGGACGGAGCTCTCTAATCTTCCTTTCCTCTTTACCACATGTCAATTCAATACTTTCTGGTTAGTTGAACCACAATTTCCCATGATGCCTGAACTTGAGAAGCCTGGTTTGAGTATTCCCTACAAAACAAAATATCAGATTCAGAAACTGTACTTTAATCTTTTTGACTCTATGAAGAGCTCAAACGGTTTCCCAGAGAAATGTCACTGAAAATCATGCTTCGGTAAAACAGGATGGATTGAAATAAATCATCCAAGAGAAGAAACTTCCAAGCATATATAGCTTGTTCCTGGGCCTATACTGAAATTTACTCTGAGTGGGGCTGGTACTAGAAGCTGTCAAAATGTCACATGTTGGATAAGCCACTATCTTATACAGGTAGTTCTTGAGTTACGACCACAGTTGGCCCCAAAATTTCTGTTGCTAAGTGAAAATTTGTTAAGTGAATTTTGCCCAAGTTGTTAGGTGAATCACTGCAATTGTTAAATGAGTAACATGGTTGTTAAGTGAACCTGGTTTCTCCATTCACTTTGCCTGCCAGAAGATTGAAAAAGGTGATCATATGACCCCAAGCCACTGCAAAATAAAAAAATAACAGTAGGAAAATAAAACAGAAGGAAAGACTAGAATTAGAATATGAGAATATGAATATGAATAGAATATGAGCCGAGCTGGCGCAGCAGTTAGAGTACAGTACTGCAGGCCACTTTAGCTGACTGTGTTCAGCAGGTCAGCGGTTCAAATCTCACCGGCTCAAGGTTGACTCAGCCTTCCATCCTTTCGAGGTAGGTAAAATGAGGACCCAGATTGTTGCGGGCAATGTAAATACATTGCTTACTGGTGTATACCGCTTAGAGAGTGCTTGCACTTAAAACGGTATATAAGTCCCATAAATAAATAAATAAATAAATAAATAAATTAGGTAAAACTAGCCAAAGTAATCCATAAAGGAATAAAAAAACAAGACAAACAGTAGTAATCCATAAGGTAAATTTTAAATTGGCGAATAGAAATTCCCTTTTATATCTGACAACGTATTTGCCCGATTTATATGATTTTTACTAATTCTCAATAATTTTGTAAATAAATTGCACAAGGCTTTCTTGGCAAATTAAAAAGATTCAGTCCTGAAGCAAAAATAGTCCACCAGGCAGCTGTTTTTCAGCCACCTTGCTTATGCATAGTTTTGTATAAATATTTCATTTCCATGTTGCATTTATAAATATTTCAGAGAAACATTTTCTCAATTTCTGTCTGTCTGTCTCTTAAGCCTTGAGTGAATGACTAGCTTAAAATACTTAGCACCTAAAAATGGATGAAACATTGTATGAAGAGAAATATAATATTCAATAGCTCAGGGCCCACAGAACTGAAATACAAAGGCCATCTCATCAGGATCAAATGCGATGGATGGAGCCCTTCCCCAAAGACAGTTCAAAATTTTGGACACTTACAACAATCTTGTTCATCTGACTTGTCTTTGCAGTCTTCGTCTCCATCGCATTTCCAGTTCAAATGGATACATTCCCCATTGCCACACTGGAACTCATGTGCTGCACAGGTGCTCGTGATCTGTGGTTTGAGTTTGTACCCGCACTTCTCCATGGACTCATCTGAGAGGTCCTCACAATCAGGCTGTTTGTCACAGACCCAAATCTGCGGGATGCACAGGCTATTGTTGCACTGGAATTCATTGGGGTTGCATGTGAAGGGAGGGCACTTCCTCTCATCACTGCCATCACCACAGTCATCATCACCATCACAGACAAAGATGGTGGCTATGCAGGTCTTGTTGCTGCACTGGAATTCACTTGAAGAACACACTTTGGGAGAAAAAACACAAAATATGTAAGGGTTAGCTCAAGCTTACCTATTCAACTTTTTTATTTCATATTTTAAATCTTCAAAAAGTTATCCTGCTCCTACATATCTTTTCCCTACAGCCCTGGAAAGCAATGCTTATACATTTGTACTCTTTAATACTGTTCCAGCCTGATCCTTCCATTTGTTGCTCATTGAGAAAAAGCAATCAAAACCTTCTTGCTCTTTTATCCATCTGTGTATCCACTTATTCGTATTTTACGATGCTGATTGGTCCATGTGATGCTTCTCCCTCTGCCCTTCATCTCTGCTCCTGTTTCATAGCAACTGAAAGTACAATTCCTGCATAGCTTCTCAACTTTTGGTCAGGGTAAATGTTATATGGAAAATATAACAGGTACTTACTTTTACTTGGTTCATAAACGAATAAGAGTATATAAAAAACCCTATTGATCAAATGGAAGTCCTACATTTTGTTCCTAGTGCTGCCTATGGTAAGCTCATAAACAGAACGTGAGGTAAAAATCACCCTTATATCTGTGATTTCCCCACTGGTATTCAGAGGCATACAATCTCTGGCATTGCATTTAATTCAAGTAGTCCTCAAGTTTCAACCACAATAGTTTGCAATTTTGGTTATAAGTTGTAGAGTGCGTAGGTTTAGGTACCATATGACAGGATTCTATCATTTTTATGACAGATTTAAAGTATGTAAGCCCAAAAGGTCCACAAGATCTTCCGGGCGAAGGGAATCCTGGTGTTGTCCTAAGCCCCTGCGACTCAAAAGATCTTTAACGGTCACAAGGGCTAGGTCCTGTGGGATAGAGGTGAAGAGGGAGACGACATCAAAAGATACCATCACCTCGTCATCCTCTATCCTTAAGGACCTAATCTTGTCCAGGAATTCCTCTGCTGAAGTAATCAGCTGCAAGAACTTAGAACTCAGAAACACTTCTGACATGAGTGATGAGAGGATCAATCGACCGGGCCCCATAACGAGGTCTATGAGCCGTGTGCAGGCGCGTTTGTGCCTATAAACGAGCTCCCCCACCCTCTGGCTTTTAACACCCTGATGATGATGGCAGCAATATAGCCATCGAAAGCTAGGTTATTTATTTATTAAACATTTAATTGTTTTACCTCCTGGTGCTCGTTTTTATCTTTTGAATATATATATATATATATATATATATATATATATATATATATATATGTATGTATGTATGTATGTATGTATGTATGTATGTATGTGTATGTGTATATGTATGTATATGTATATATATGTATATATATATATATATATGTATGTATGTATATATATATATGTATGTATATATATGTAGGTCTTTGGTTGTTCGGGTTTTCTCCCACGTAAAATTGGAAGTGTCTTGGCGACGTTTCGACGAAGTCCCATTCGTCTTCTTCAGGCTGGTGCTTTCAGCTTCGTGCCTCGAGCAGCAAGGCACGAAGCTGAAAGCACCAGCCTGAAGATGACGAATGGGACTTCGTCGAAACGTCGCCAAGACACTTCCAATTTTACGTGGGAGAAAACCCGAACAACCAAAGACCTACATACAAATACCCGCGAAAACCTCAGAAAACATGTATATATATATATATATATATATCAATCTTTTTCTTTCATAATTTATTATTTTAATAACATTATGTATCCCACTTTGAATGGGGAGAGTTGAGAATGCTGCAGTTTAATAAAACTTACAGTTTGTAATCCCAGTCCATTCCAAAGGAAGATATAAATGATACGAAGGACTATTTGTGCATATATGTGAAGAAGATGCTTTGGAATTAAGACTTTGTGGCCAGATAAATTTGACTTTTACTTTAGGCAAGTAAAAGCAGAGAAACGCAAGAACCATCAGTGATCTAAGCATAAGGAACAATAAAAAAACCCCTCCATAATCCTTGCAAAGGACAAATTCAATTCATTACCCATTATTTGTAAACATTTAATTAAGGCATAACAAATTCATCTATTTCTCTCATTTGGTTTAGTGGTTAAAGCATTGGTCTAGAAACTGCTGCTGAGTTCTATGAAAGTTTTTCTTGAAAGATTGAGCCATTCTTGAAATAGCATAAACCTAATCTGATAATTCATAGGGACTTACTATGACTACTTCTGCTTAATAGTCTCTAAGAAACACAGTCTTTGTAAAAAAAAATAATAATCCAAGAATTCAAAGGAAGGTACCCCAGGGTTAAGCTATTGGTTCCTTTTCTCTACTTCCTATATTTAACTCATCCCAAATAATCACTTCTTTATTCTAACCTGAACAGTGTTAACTGTTTCTGAAGTCTATCATTCAACATAACAATCCTTGACAGTCACTACCAATTCAGAGCCTCTACAGCACTAATGTAAAGTAAATATCATTTTATATCTGTAGGTTTCTAAAAATATTACATATTTGCTTATTCAAAAATGCTGTGCCAAAATCTAACAGCATTTCTTTCCTCACTAAAGAAGTGGTTTTCTCAGAATGCTAGAAAATTTTTTTAGAAGTCTCTCTTTTTGGAAGGGGGGATTATTTTGGCATTGTAGTAATATAGCACCTTAGCACTTTCTAACTAAGTGTATGAATACCATACTCTTCCCATGAAGGCTGCATCAGAATCATTTTCTACTTCAACAGCAAATATTATTTCATTAAACGGAATAAGAGCGGATTCCCAAAAAATGTAGAATTGTTCTGCTTGTCATTTATTTTTGCAGGCTTAATGCCAGTTCTCATAGCTTGAGTGAAAGACCCTTTGGACCATTCTTAGTTGTGAGCTGCAGGGCTCAATAAAAGCTAAAACGATGTGGAACGTTCTATGGGATTTTCCACTTGCTTGAGATAGGTAGTTGTAGAAATTGAACGAATGAACCAATTGCACGAATAAATAAATAGATAAAGAGGATTTCGCTTGCCAAGATGATCTGAAGTACCGTAACACTGAACTAAGAAAAATCTTCCTTTGATGATATTGATTCTTGCAATGTATACTGTACAGTCAAGGTTGTTTCTGTGAATTATTAGGAAAGTCCTAGGGACCATTCTGATCCATCTATTCTGTGCAATGATCACAACGGTATCTTGGGAAACATAGCTGGGAATTCAAGAGGTAGACACTGAAATAAGCTGAAAGCTGCATGTCTTGCTCTTTGTGGAAAGGAATCCTAGACATTCATTCATGCTAATTCACTGAAACAAATATACATTTAATGCTATACTGGCAATTGTTTAATATTAAACTGAACTAAAAAATGGCCAGATAGTTTAAAAATTCTTTGAAACATTAAAAAAAAAAAAATCAAATGGCATATGAAACTGGGGAGTCCTAGAATTATAGCGTGTAAACTCGTCAAGGAATAGAACTGAACAAATCCAGAGGATTATTGCATTTAAAGTCTGATGAGCTACTCTATGGCCAGATGGCTGAGGGTTACGAAAAAGGCTGTTGCAGTTAGGGGCCTGGCAGGGAGTGGGGTCAGGGTCTGAAAGCCATAGCTCTATTTTGCAGACAACTTCTCTGTCCTCAGTTTGGCTTTTGTAAGTGGCAATTTCATTCTCCCCCAAATGTAAGTAGGTTGCAGAATTTCAGAGTGTGTTCTGAACTTCTTAAGAAGGATGCACAGGCAAATACTCAGTGAAGTATGCAGGGATTTGGCTTCTAAATTGCATCGATAAGCCCTTTTGCAACAAATTAAAAATTATTCTGGAAGCTACTATGTAACATTTACAAATAATTAAACTTTTCTGAGTGGATTTCACACTTCCTCTCATCTGTTTGCCACATTTAGAGTTAAACTATCTGTAGCAATTCACGTGAAAACTTCTAGGTATTCCAGCTGCAACTTTTTCAGCCAAAAAGGAAATCTATTTCCAACATTAAGGAGTTCCCACAAAATAAGCTTAAATATATGCAATTTCTTTTTTTTATTAGGGGGAAAATAAACTTTGAAACTACTGAAGTCAATTGTCTTACAATAATCCCAAATGAAAAGGAATATAATCCTGAGAATGATGTTTTAAAAGCAACAGTCACATTCTCGTTGTTCCTTGTGCCCTATGCCATAATAAACAACACAGCTGGCAAAAAGATGACAGGAATCAGAATGGAAGGAGATGCTTCCAAGAAACTCTAGTTATTTTTATGTAGAGATTTACAACCTGAAGGTCTAGACCTGCAATTTGTTATAATCTTTATCTAGTACTCAAGAGATCTCCCAAATGTATTTCCAAATTGTAATTTGGAATGTGACAGAAGTAGAAAAGTATTAAATCCAGAAACTGAGGAATAATTCTGTCAATAATATTTTTAATACTGAAATCTACGGTTGTTGAGGTACTGCATTATCTAATTTGATGCAATCTATCTTTGACAGCATTTCTTTCAATTGTAGCTAAGTCTGTGCAGACCCTCTTAAAGTATTGTTCTAGCTCTACTATGTATGAAACAGAAGATTAAAAGTCAAGAGTAAGCCAGTGTATCTTTATTTAATTTGGCTATTGCCTTGTTATCTCTGAACGCCCAGTTATAGGAAGACGTAACTACAAGAAATGTGCCAGGTTTGAATGACCACATTAGCAATGGACAATCCTGAATAGGATTCGCACCTCAGATGGCATCTGCTAGGACTCTCTGTATAAAAGGGTCCACAGTATCCTCCTCTCAGTGCGACTGTGGGGTCCCACGTCAAACTGTAGATCACATCATGACCAGCTGTAAGTGGTCCAGTGTCCTATTTTTTTTAATGTAAATGATGCTGTGCTTCAGATGGCCTAGACCAGGGGTAGGCAACCTTGACTCTTTTATGACTCATCATAAAAGAGCCAAGGTTGCCTACCCCTGGCCTAGACATTGGTATTTGAACATAGATCTTGTTAACATTTATATTTTATGTTGTTGTTGTTAATTGCGAAGTCGTGTCTGACCCATCGCGATCCCATGGACAACGTTCCTCCAGGTCTTCCTGTCCTCTACCATCTTCTGGAGT